TCTCTATTTGTTCCTTTTTAATTTCCTCGTGTCATTAATATCATGTATTTATAATGCATTGTTTTTATTTTGTTTTAGGTGTTTCTGAACGCACCGTCACCCAGATAAGTCAAGAGGGTAATATAGCAGAAGCTTCATCTTCTAAAATTGTGACGCCGGGAAAAACTAGGAACCGAAGGAAAAAAATTTATGATTTAGACGATTTCGATATGTGCGCTATAAGGCATTTAATTCAATCATTTTACGTCGTGAAGAAGGAGATTCCTACCATAAATAAACTTTGGTTGGAATTGAAAACTGATATTGGTTTTAAATATGGCAGAACATCGTTGAGGAGTATTTTAAAGACTATGGGCTACAAATACAAAAGGTGCCAGTCTAAACGAAAAGTATTGGTAGAACGCAGTGATATTGCAGCTTGGAGAGCAAAATATATTCTGAGGTTGCGCAAGAATCGTCAGGAAGAAAATCGACCGGTAATTTATGTTGACGAAACGTATATACATGCTTCATACCACCTTCAAAAATGTTGGCAATCGAAGGAACAGCCTGGTATTCTTGCTTCTGATAGCGTCGGTGCAAGATGGATAATAGCCCATGGTGGAGGTAAAACTGGGTTTGTTGAAAACGGACTGCTGCTGTTCAGGTCTAACTCCAAATCGAATGACTATCATGACGATATGAATTCAGCTAACTTCATGCGGTGGATGAAAGAAAAAATTGTGCCGAATCTTCCAACGAATTGCATTGTAGTGATGGATAATGCGTCATACCACTGCACACAGATCAACAAGGCGCCTACAATTGGCAATACAAAAGCAGAGCTCCAAGGATGGCTTACGAGAAATGGTATTACATTTGAAGACTGTTGGACAAAAGCGCAATTATACGAATTAATTAAAAAACACAAAGGAGACCCACAGTACGAAATAGATCAAATGCTAAATGAATATGGACATGAGGTTCTCCGTATGCCGCCTTACCACTGCGATTTAAATCCCATAGAAAAAATTTGCGCAATAGTAAAGAGACTCATTGCAGAGAAAAATATCACTCAAGCTCCTAGCGAAATAGCTGCTATTACTGAGGCGGCGTTTAGAACAGTAACGACAGAAGAATGGTTCAACGTATGCCAACATGTAGAAAAAATAGAAGATAAATATTTCCAATCAGATAGGCTGATGGATATGGAAATGGATGAATTTGTAATTAATGTTACAGGTGACACATCCGAGTCATCTGATGAAGACTCTAGCATGGATTCTGATGAAGATATGCGAATGGAAGGCGTTGATCCACTGCAGGACCATTGTTACACCAAATTTATAAATAATAATAGGTATTCAATAAAAGATTTACAAGGTTTCCTTGGACTTTTTATTTCGTTCTTTATAATAAATATTATAATGCTATTTCAGTTGTTTCAAAATACCTTTTTGGAAAAATCTATTATAGACAAAATATCAGTAGTCATTAATCTTAGTATTAGTCCTTTTTATACACGCATATAATAAGTACCTGTAATTGTGTAAAAAAAATTGTAGTGGCGTAGTTAAACTTGTGTAGTGAGGTATCAAACTTATGAAAGTTAGAATCAAGAAATATATTTATTACGCGGATCTTAAACAATAAATATGGGGTTTAAAAAATTATTAGGTCTTTGTAAGTTTAGGCTGAACATTACAGTTTTTTTAATTGAGATTTGGTAATCAATTAGGTAATTTATGTAATTTGATATAATTATACAATTCCAGTAATAAGATTAAACGAAGGAAAAAATATTAGTCCGCGCGCAGAGTTATCTTGCGCGCACTATAGTGCCGCGTGGGACGCCACCTTGTCAGAACGTGTCAGTGCTTCCAGATTCACTGTAATTACAGTAGATTTACTGTATTTTAGACTTTTCTACTGTATACTGTAATGATAAAATACAGTGTATGGAATATACTGTATTTAATTTTCATATAGCTTTATCAATTCTAATACGTAAAACAGAACGCAGCTAATCTACACTACCACAGACTAATATGATGCTAATACACTACCTTGCTACAAATTTATTTATCTATGATCTACACCCACTGAACCACAAACTAATAAGAGTGCTAGCGCCATTATCCATAGACAATGTACAGTAAGTTTGTAACAAAGTTGCGGGGAATTCCCTGGCAAATCGGAACTAACGTGGAGCACTCTGGGACGCAACTAGCATAAGTAGGTTCTTGTTACTTGTTTTAACTGTCTTACAAAGGAACATTGTATTTTTCGTCTAATTCATTACACTTAAAGTAGTTTTGCCATTGTACATACATTTTAATTGAGATTTAAACTTTTTAATTGTTTTGGGTGATGTGAAATAAAATTTAAACTAAAAACTTATTCGCTATAATTTTTTCACTGTATTTATTACTGTAAAAATGAGCTCAAGCAGTGAGGAAAGTGATGTGCGTAGCGATGCTGGTCCGTCAAGAGCTAAAAAGAAATATCGGCAACAATTCCGTGATGAATGGCTTCAATTACAAGACTACCGTAAGTGGTTAAAGCGTGATAAAAAGTCGATTTATAAATGCATTTGCACTGTTTGCGATTCTTCTTTGATTGCCGATCTGGGTGCTATTAAAAGACACAGTGAAGGTGCTAAGCATAAACTTCGTCTTCCTGCCCTATCGCATGTGCGTACCATTGATAATATTTTTAAAAGTCAGCAACGCGCAAGTGATGATGATCAGCGGAAAATTACAGAATTAAAATTATCGGCTTTTATGGCAGAACATAAAATATCGCACATAGTGATGGATCATCTCGTTGATTTACTTCCAAAAGCTTTTCCAGATTCTAAAATCGCAAGTAATATCAAACTTAAACACACTAAATTACAAGCAATAATAAATAACGTTATCGGGGCTTCTGAAGGAGAATGTTTAGTCGAAGATTTAAAACGCGAAAAGTTCTCTATAATGGTAGACGAAAGTACCGATGTTGCCAGTGTGAAAACAATGTGTGTTGTAGTCAAATATTATGATCCTAATTTAGGACGTATCGTCAGTCGATTCTGGGACCTTATTCAAATATTTGATGACAAAAAAGCTGGAACGTCTGGTGATTACTCAGCCACGGCTGAAAAATTATTTAATTCAATAATAAAATCATTTCGAGACAAAAATATACCCTTAGAAAATACTATCGGGTTTGGTTCTGATGGATGTAATATGATGATGGGCTGCCATAATTCAGTGTCCTCACGATTTAGACAACTATGTCCAGGTATTACAGTGATCAAATGCCTTTGCCATTCTTTACATTTGTGCGCTTCCGACGCTTGCAAAGAATTGCCCCACGATGCAGAAAAACTGACTCGAATGATATACAATTACTTCAAAAATAGTAGCAAACGTCAAGCAGAGTTAAAGGAATTTCAAGTATTTACAGACACTAACATACACAAATTGCTACGTCCAGCCCAAACGCGTTGGTTGTCTCTTTCCAGTGTTGTGAACAGAATTATGGAGCAATGGGACGCTTTGCGATTGTACTTTGACGATAAATGGCTGGAAGACCAAGATTGCCAAGCCATTCATATTCTTTTGAATGATCACATCATCAAGGCATATTTTTATTTTTTATGTTGGATGTTGCCAAAGTTTACCCGCGTCAATGTATATTTTCAAAGCGAAGATCCGGTTATTATAGAAGCCCATAACAAAATGAAAGAGCTATACAGAGAACTCTTATCCTTATACATAACTCCGAATCATTTAAAGAACACCCCACTCGACGCAATTGACCCTACTGATAGTCAACATTACATAAATCTGAAAAATATATACCTGGGATTGGGTGTTGCTAATCAAGTTGCTGTCCCAGAGCTACATGTAAGTACCGAAGAAGTTACAGTGATGAAACAGAAATGCCTGAATTTTATCGTTAAAGCATGCGTGGGTATTCGGAAAAGATACAGTTTGAATGACCCAGTTTTGAGCTCAATCGCAAAGTTGGATCCCGATTCTTGCTTATCTGATAATAGACTACAGTCTTTGTCTTCGCTGTTCCCAGTGCTGCCAAGGCTTAAACCCCAAACTTTAAATGATCAACAGACGTTAGATGATGAATGGAGAAATTTAATGTTGACTGCGGATGAACAACATTTGAATACAAATCAACCAGCAGACGTGTTTTGGCATCAGGTAAAATTTTATCACTTAAGAACTTTACGTATAATATTGCACATATGTTTACATTTTACAGATTTGTTTTTTTTTCAGTTGTCTCAAATCAAAGATAGCAACGGAGATAATAAATATCATTTTCTGCCTCGTTTTATGCTCCAAGTTTTATCGTTGCCTCACTCGAACGCTGAGTGCGAACGAAAGTTTAGTGAAATAAATAATATAAAAACAAAGCAGAGAAACTGTTTAGTCACAAATACCATCAAAGGCAACATGCTAGCTCAGCAAGCCATTCGGCGGACTTCCGAAAATTGCGTGAATTTTAATCCAACTAAGGAAATGATTTCAAGGATGACAGCAAAGATTTATGAAAATCATGAGCAAATTGTTCTGGAATAAGTAAATCAATAATAAATGTTTTTTCTTGTATCTAAATATATGTTTTTATTTATTTAATAACTTATAGCAATTTGTATTGATAAAGAGTCATAAAGCAGCTTATTTTTCTATCAATATTTAAACAAAGTGTTTCCTGTAATTTTACTGTAATTGATTTTGAAATCTACTGTATTGTTTTTAGAAACTCCTGTATTTTTTAACTGGCAACACTGTAATTTTACTTTTGGGATCTGGAAGCACTGGAACGTGTATTCTCTAGCGCTCCGCGATAGAAAGTGAGTTTAAATACTTATTTTACTTTACTGTAGGGATAAAATCTTATTGTAATATAATAATCGTTATACTATAAAAATAGCTTTGAGCTATATATTAACGTAATTATGAACAAATTTTATCAAGTGAATTTGTATAATGTAGGTATTTATATTTTTTTAGATGGCACAAAAGCAGACAGATAGTGAGCGTATTAGACAACTTTTAGAGGATGCATCTACTCCAGAGTTGACTCCAGAACGGAACCCATACAGTGATGATGGCGAATATGGATCGGATCAAGAATTTCAACCTAATTATGATGATATATCGAATTCAGATTTGGAGTCTACAGAGACAAGAAAAATTGCAAGAAATATGATGAGAACAGAGTTCAGCGGATCTAGTGATACTCTAGTGTCAGATGATGAAGTAGACGTAAGAATCCACTCAACTTTAACTGTCCCTGTGGACAAGATACAGATACAAGGGATGCCGAGAAAAAACTCCCTTATGCCCTACATGTTTTGAGGAATGGCACGCCAAATATGTCAAGAGGGGAGATACATAAAATGAAGCTATTATTCTAAGAAAATGTTGATTTATACACATATTTTTTTAATTTTTAAAGAGATATTATTGTTTTTTTTTTAATAATAAGAACTGGAGTAAGTTCTTACTAATTAATAGCCTGTGATTGATTATAATAGATATTTCTGTTTTATTTTATTTAAAATAATTAAGAACTGGAGTAAGTTCCTACTAATTACTAGGCTGTAATTGATTTTATAATAAATATTTCCTACGAATGCTGACTTTTATTTTTAAACTGCTATAGCCATACTGTTATCATGCAATGCATATTTCCATATATTACACGGCAGTACGGCCTTAGCCGAATTACGGTTATAACCGTACTGCCTTCAGGAATACCTTTTTTATTATGTGTTATGACAGTACGGTTATAACAGTGTCCCTAAAATGTATAGAAAATTTTAGTAATTTTTTTACGAAACTATCAGTTAAATTACCGGCCACGAACGTGTTAATTAGATACTTACCTATTTTCTAAACTATGCAAATTACTATAATTACAGCATTACAAGGATGTTCAACGGATGACCATATCAGTACATCATTAAATACATCTGAGATTAGCAGTGAGCTTAACCAAGATCAAATACCAGCTGCTGAAGGTTTAGAAGACTTGATTACTCTTTCCGATTTAGGATTATCACATGATGATCGAAATGATATGACAACACCACTTGGTGAGTATATTATATTTATAACAAAATGTAAAAAAACTGTTACTCTTTTCACGACGCGTTGTGTAGTAGGTATTTAGGCACCTGTTTTTTTAATATTGGTAGTAAGTAGGGTTTGGGTCCCGGGACGTCTCCTGTCGGGAAGTCCCGGGACTTTTCGTAATTTTAGTTGTCTCGAGTCCCGGGACTTTCGGGTCGAGACTCGAGACGAGACAAGATTGTTATGTAATCATTTTTATTTTCAAATAATTGAAGAAGCCTAGACTGATCTGTTAAGTTTAATGAATAGTTACTTGGTCTACTACGTAACTACTAAACACACACAATACAAATCCATTTGCCGCGCTGCCATCATGCCGCCACATTAGTTGTTCTGTGATGTTTAGGTTATGTTTGTGTCTGTTTTAGTTGAGGCAGTTAGTCGTCAATTTCATTTATGATATGATTGTGGTGTGGTGCTTCTTTTGAATTCAGTTTACTACTGGATGTTAAAACAAAGTGGAATTCCACCATTGTGATGACGACACGATTTTTGAAGCTCAAAAATTGCGTGAAGAAAGCGTTGATTGATTTAAAAATGTTAGACAGTTGGAATGAAGACAATCTTTTTCTTTTGTAGTCAATTGTTGATTTGTTGCAGCCAGTCAAGATAGCTTTGGAAACTTTAGGCTGACAAAACGCTTCATTACTCCTATAATTATTGCTACACAGCTGTAGCAATAATTGACAAGTGGCTCAAAAAATTTAATCGACAACGGCTTATAATGATTTGGCGAAGCGGTTCTTCGAAACTTTGAAAGCTCACCTAGAAGAGAGAAGATCACAACGAGTTAGAGTATGCTTGTTAAAATATTTTTACACTGTCCACCACACCTCACAGTTTCAAAACACGGACTTTTTACCTTAAATATTAGTAAAAGTGCACTAATAGGCTTCGCGGAAGAACTGTAACAATACAAAATAAAAATACAAAAAGAAATGGGGATATTACCGAAATGCCTAGTAGCCGGACACCAGATGTGGAAATAACGGGCGCTGAATCTAGTACTTGTAGCTCTCAAGTACACGACAATCCTGACGATTATTTTGTTAGTCAAATATAACAAGCAATAAAAAATATCTATATATAACAAGCAAGAAAATGTACCCGAGATTCCGTAAAAAAGAGCAACATTAAAAAAGGAGTTTCAGTTGTTTGAAGCAACCGGAAAACGTACCCAAAATTTGGAACTATGTACTGTATTAACCCTTAATTACTCGCGTCCATATAGTTACACTTACGCTCGCGTGGGGAATATATAACCCCAATTGTAAAGGTACAATAAAACATATTTTTAATGACATACTTTTTTTTATTATAAAAATTTGAAAGAGGCAACATTGTTCTAAATTGTAATAGTATCCTTAAAAACTTTTAAAGATATGAAACTTTAAATTTAGGAACTTTTTAATCAATACATTTATCACATATCATAGTGGAATGGTCGTGACAAACTTGCTGGTGGCATTTGGCACACATAAATCTTATTTTTTTATCCTTCGACCTTGGACAGATATGGCACCTTTTATAAGTTGTCGATGGACCACCTCTGGAAGTGGGGCTAGGATCCTGAACTTGAGCATTTCTTTTTAGCCGTTTTTGTACGGCCCTAGGCAGTTGTGGTATAGTTGCTCGAGTTTGTTGGCGAGCCTTTACCAAATCAACTGCAAGATGCTTCAAAAACTTCCTTCTTGATATTCCGTGGTCAATTTTATTTTTATAAATGACATATGCATTGATACCAGCAACGTTGAGAAGGTGATAAAATATAACCATAGGCCATCTCTTTGTACGTCTGCCGACGTTATAGTTAGCACACATTTGGTCGTTGGTATCTACGCCACCTTTCGTGCGATTGTAGTACAAAATAATTTCCGGTTTCTTCTTTTCACTTTCAACTATTTTATTGTCATGATGCATTGACGAAATCAGCAGTACAGCTTTAGATTTTTTTGGAACGTAAGAGCAAAATGTTAAAATCTTCTTGGAAACCAAACAGACTGGAATGCTCAGCTCGTGTTCGTTTGGGCTGGAAGCAAGTTGGAATTTCCGGCTTATTCTTGCGAATAGTTCCAACCATAGTAAGCTGGTGATCTTTTAGAAGCGTATTTGTAAGAGGGACGCTAGTGAACCAGTTGTCCATCGTAACGTTTCGACCAGTACCCCAGATGGGTTCTGTCATGCGCTTTACCAAACTTACTGTATCATTAGGCATTCGATATGGACCCTCAGGTTGTACTCCAGCATAAATTTCAAATTTCAGTAAATAAAATGTTGCCGAGTCTACGAGTGCATAATGCTTTATGCCGTACTTCGTGGGTTTGTTGGGCATATAAACAACACCAGAAAATCTTCCTCGAAAGGCAGGTAATTGTTCATCTAGGGTGACATTTTCAGATGCAGAGTAATTATTGATGAAATTATTATTCATCAAATCAGTGAACTCTCTGACTGCTGCTAGTTTGTCTGTCTTTTGCCTTTCAGATCTAGTATTTTTGTCATCAAAACGAACACATCTTGATATAAAAAGAAATCTGTTGAATGACATTGTGTTTTGAAAAAACTCGATGCCTGTTCCATCGGTAGCCCACAGATCTTTGAAGTTCAAGTGAGATGAACGCAGCACACCAGACATGTAAAGCAAACCTAGGTAAGCCAAAAGTTCTTCGTATTCTAGGAATTTGCAATCACGTTCGCGTTGAAATTTTCCTTGTATCGATTTTATGTAATCGTTGGTCTGTTGCAGTACTAAATTGACAGTATCCATTGAAAACATACAAAAGAATGCTTCTGACATTGTATGTATCTCCTTGGCTGCTCCCTTAGGTCCTGGTGTTTCCCTCATAATATTGTGTCTACGAACTCGAACGCTAGTACGCGGCGGCTCTTTTGCCCACTTTGTGCATTTCTTTTTTGATAAATAAAAGCTATCAGAATCTTTACTTGCGTGTCTACTCAGCGGTTCATTATCGTCATCACTCCATTCTAACTCGGTTTCATGGGCACTTTCTTCAGATTCTGAGTTGTGGTCACTCTGGATCACTTCATCGTCTCCCTCATCTTCATCGGGACTATCTATGATGCTTTCTTCGTCGTCTTCTAATATACGCTCAAGAATCTGGTAGTTAGAAAGACGCTTACTTGCCATTTTAGGTGTTATAACCTAAAAAAGAACAGAAAACAAAGATAAGTAAAAAAACCTAACCATTTAGTATCTGTACTGCACATTAAAAAATAAAAATAAAAATACTCACTCGTCCAAAAAAAGTTGCACGAATACTCGCGTGGGGCAATATATACCCCAGACACGATCTCCTGACACAACCACACGACACGGAGCGGCGCTCGTGACTGATTCGCGGCGGGGGGAGGTATTTAGGCAGCTACTAAGAACGGCATGGAGGTAACTTTAAAAATGGCGGAGATACGACGCTTCAAATACGCCGTGGGGTTAAATATACCCCACGCGAGTAATTAAGGGTTAAGTCTTAAACACAATTAAACCGACATCTGTTGAAAACGAGAGAGTGTTCTCCTTGTCCAGTGACAATATTACGAAAATCGGAAAAAGATAGTTGGACAAAGCTGTTGACGCTCTGAATTTTTAAAAGCCAATTTTATTAAATCAACAATGAAGTCTAATTAACGTATTAGTTGATTATTTAAAAAACTGATTTATGACTGTGGTTTATTATTTAAATGTAGATTATTTAATTATGAAACAAATCTGTGATTCTAAGATTTAACAATGTTGTGATTATGACCAAAGATTAGATACTAGAATTACTAGATAAAAGTAAAGTTACTAAGAACTAGTATAATTTTTAACTAAGTTTGTTTTAAAACTATAAGATTTAACTGCTTAAAAGTGAGTGTGTGTGGTTAAAAGAAATAGAGAAAGCAATTATAAAGACTGAAGTTAACGTTAAAGTTGCTTTGTGGAATCCTTTTTATAATGTCTATATCGATCAGATTGAGAGGGTACAAAAAAATTTTTTTAAGTCAATGTTCTATAGATGTAAGCATAAATATTGTTCGTATAATGCTATTTTAAATAAATACAAAATGTTAACTTTAAAGCTCAGACGACAACAATTAGTAGCAATGTTATTATTTGACCTTTGCCATAATAGATATGATTGCATTCCTGTAATAAATAAATTGCGATATCGTGTACCTACTCGATCAGGTGTAAGATCAAGATGCTCCCGTCAAACATTTGCCCTTCCCTTGTGTAGAACCAATGCTGGCAAAAGAGCGCCGTTGTATCGCTTAATGCAAAATTATAATGATCACTTTTGGGACATTGATATTTTTAATAACAGTGCTAATTCCTATAGAAGCAAAGTGATTAATAAGTTTATGAGTCGTGTTAACTAAAAAGTAAATAAAATAAATCAAAACATAATTTAAATTATATAATTTTTTGAAATCAAAACTAAAATGTTAACAGTTTTTTTTTTCATTTTGTACTATTGCATTTTATGTATTAAGTCTTCCTTCACATCTCTCACTGTTGTAGTTTAACCTATAAATCATTATCTGAGGCTGGTGGTGTTGGCTTCACTAAACTCAAATTTTAGGATTAAGATTATAGTTATTAAGCCTCTGTTGAAGCTGTTTACTGGTCCTTAAATAAACTAAAAAAAAAGTTTACCAGATTAATTTTCTGTTTAATAAGTGTTGATTTTTACAAAAAAATTGCCTTTTTTTAATACGTATCACCAGAAATTAACTCAATTAAAATTATTCAAAAAAAGGTTTACCCTCTTTAAAAAAATTCTTAAAAGTCACGAAGTCCCGGGAATTCCCGGGATTTTGACTGTAGGCTGTCTCGTGTCCCGGGACTTTGAAATTGTCGGGAATTCCCAAACCCTAGTAGTAAGTGACACCCTGGGTGACCTGGGTGTAGGTAATTTGTTATGCTCAAATTTGTTACCTTGTTGGTACCAAGGTAAAAAAGTTACTAAAGCATTATACTTAGCATGTCCTTTTTAAGTTTGTAACCGAGTTCATTGTAGACCTTGTTATTAAAGACACTTTGGAAAGAGGGTTAAGAGAGTAATATTTTTTTTATTCGTGTTTCAGTTAATGAATCACTCGAATCGGCTCTTGATAGAGAAATTCCCGTTATTTACATTACATATTGTATATAATAGTTGTGATTTGAAACTATTGTGAAACAAAAAATTCAGCTTGTTAGAGAACGAGATATAATACAGTGCCAGTGTAAAGATGATAACACGTCGTGCGTTACAGAGGAAGCGTCATTCCGAGACACCTCAGTCTCGGTCAGCGAAGATGTTTCGCAGCGAAGGCAAACCATCATCAGTTTCCGGATCAGGAATGCAGCCTTCCTCGTTACACAGCACACGGAGTCCACCGGAACTAAGAAAATGGCTCCGCAGGTATTTTTTTTAAATTGCTGTATAAGATTTTAAAAGTATAATTAGATATACTTCCCACAGCCGGGCACAGGTCACCTCAAATTTCGGAGAGTTTCATTTATTGATGGGTAATGGTATTATTATTGCCTTTAGCAATAAGTTTTAACATCTTCGGATCTGATATATTACCATTAGGTAGCATAGTAGTCAAAAACTGACTCTTATAAGTTTTATAAATTAGATTGCCGTAGCAAATTACAATATATCTTTTACTAGCAATCCGTCCCTGCTTTGCACGGGTGATCTCTGGATCTCGATAACCTACCGGGTCCAAATGTGAATATTATAAACGATCTAGGGACCCATTCAAATTCACACAATAAATGTCATTAAAATTGTCAAGTTTTAATTTGGAGCAAACCGAGCCAGCTGACTTTGATTCTGACGATAGCGCAGAAAGGGTAGAAGAAAGTTCGTCCTCTGAAGAGAGCCAAAGTTCTTCTGAAAATATTGGGATGTATCAAGAAAATGCTAGTAATGATGTATTAAATACAAGAAGGAAACGGAAAGGACAAAACTTGCACAAAACAATTCAGATTAAAAGAAACAAAGGCCAATCTTATGAAACAAAATCAGGAAAAAAAATTCCGTCTAGAAAAGTTACCGCCTTGTCAGATTGCTGTAAAGTGTCGTAATAAAATTAGTAATAGAAAATCAAACGATACTTTTTGATGAGTTATGGGCATTAGCAAATTACAATAAGCGTTCGGCATATCTATCATCAATGATTTTCGATGCACCAAAAAAAAAACACAATGCATACGTAATACAGGCGGAGAGCCTAAACCACGAACTATAAACCACACTTATCATTTAAAAGTAAATGGCCAGCTGATTGAGGTATGCAAGGGATGTTTTTTAAAAACGTTTGCAATTTCTAATAAATGCATTGAAGTGATTGTCAAGAAATAATCAAAGAGAGTATCTGGGATTACAAGCCCTGATAAACGTGGATCACACCAAAGACCATGTGAGCAAATTGCTCGAAGAGGGGAGGGTCAAGAGTACTCGGATACCTAGACGTGCATGTATGAAGAAGTTAATGAACCTGAAAGAAGCGAAAGAGGTATGTAAGGATCGTGACACTTGGCGATCTGTTCTCTCTGGCTACCCCGTTAGGGATTGTGCGTGAAGATAAGTAAGTAAGTAAGTAAGTTTGCAATTTCTAATAAATGCATTGAAGTGATTGTCAAGAAACAATCAAAGAGAGTATCTGGGATTACAAGCCCTGATAAACGTGGATCGTTTACTCCATCTAATAAAATTGGTAGTGATGTAGTACAAACAATAAAAGACCATATAAATTCGTATCCTTTGTATGAGTCACACTATAGCCGAAGTCACACAAATAGACGATATCTACCATCAGGACTCTCGTTGACATCATATCACATGTATAAGGAAAAGGTGACTAATAATCCTGTATCATATTCATTTTTTGGCAATGTTTTTCGAACAGTGGATTTATCTTTTGAAAAAACCATCGTTGGACACTTGTAATACGTGTGACTCATATAAAATGAAAATTAAATTGGCTTTACCGTCAGATATAGAAAATCCAAAACAAGAACTTGAAGCCCACCAAATACAAGCAGATTCAGCTTATGCAATAAAAAAGAAAGACAAGGAGGAATGTACAGATGCGAAAAGGGTATTTTTTTGACCTCCAACAATGTCTCCCAACTCCCTTTTTGAAAACCAATATCGTACCTATTTTACAAGCGGCTATTATGGACTTTCAATCTAATTGTATACGATTGCTTTGAAAAAAAAAGTTTCTGCTACATGTGGCATGAAGCTGATGGTGGCCGTGGCGCAAACCAAATAGCTTCCTGCCTATTTAATTTTATAAAATCACTTCCATCTACTGTAAAAATAGTTACTTTTTACTCAGATACATGTGGCGGTCAAAACAAAAATATCCATGTGGCTGCTATGTTTCTTTGCATAAGCAAACTTATACCAGATATACGAATAGATCACAAGTTTTTAATCCCTGGTCATACTCACATGGAATGTGATTCTGTTCATGCTCAAATAGAGCAAAAAAAGAAAAATACTGACATGTCTGTACATTTGCCTAGAGACTGGTACAATTTGGTAAGATTGACAAGTTCAAATATTATTGTGATTATCATGAGAAATGATATGTTTCTTGATTTTGCAAGTTTGTACAAGGGTCCACTGCAATTAAGGAAGGTCGATTCATCTGGAGAAAAGTTTATATGGCATGATGTGAAATGGTTCCAGTACAGTGGTGAAAATGAATCAGGCACAATACAATTTAAAACAAGCATAGACTCGCCTGAATTCGAAAATATTTCTTTTAGTAGAAGAGGCAAAGCAAACGAACCGTAACGACTAAAAGAGATAGAAAGCTGACATCTCAAATACCTTCCTAAGTCATACGACCATTAGTATTGCGAGTGCATTTTACTCGTAGTGACGTATCCTTGAGCGGTTAGAGTTTTATTCGTCTGAGGGACGAATATTTATGAATAGATACACGTTTGATGAATACGTTTGCAAATTTTGAAATACGATTTTTGAAGATTTCTAGTTTGATGAAGTAGACGGTAAGTTTGTGATAATATTTTTAATTAGTCACAATTATTCAAGTACATTTTATTTAGTAACATCGTGTGTACGTGGGTGGATTGAAAAGTACTCGGCCTAACCAAGAAAATAAACACATACTAAATCAGTTATATTTTTATTTTTCTACATAATCACCATCAAGTTCAATACACTTTTGCCACCTCCCCTTCCAAGCATTTAGACCGTTGAAAAAAAATGATTCTTCCTTAGAGTCAAAATATGCGTCTACAGCTGCTTTGACCTCGTCGTTTGTCGAAAATCTTTGACCTCCCAAGTGCTTTTTTAGGTTAGGGAACAGAAAGAAGTCTGATGGTGCCAGATCAGGTGAATACGGCGGATGCGGTAACAGTTCAAAGCCACAGTTGTGAATTTCAGCCATTGACTGTACTGACGTGTGAACACGGGCGTTAACTTGATGAAACAGGACTTTTCTTCTGAGCATTCCTCGACGTTTTTCTTTTATTTCCTCTCGTAAACGACGTAGTAAGGTGCAGTAGTAATCAGAGTTTATAGTCTGACCCCTTTCAAGATAATCAATCATAATCACACCTTTCGAGTCCCAGAATACTGAAGCCATCACCTTATTTGCCGACAAAATCGACTTAGCCTTTTTTAGGGGGTGGTGAACCAGGTCTTCTCCACTGTTTTGATTGTTGTTTTGTTTCCGGTGTACAGTAATGAACCCATGTTTCATCAATAGTAACAAAACGATTCAAAAAATCATCTGCATCGGCTTCAAATAACTCCAAACAGTCGCGTGAAATAGTCAATCGCGTCCTTTTTTGTTCAACTGAAAGCAGTCGCGGAACCCACCTCGCAGACACCTTGTGGAAACCAAACTCGTTGACAATGATGTTTTGAGTTCGTTCATAAGAGATGCCTATAATCTCGGCTATCTCTCTAATTTTTAATCTGCGGTCTCCCATTATTAAATCAAGTACTTTTTTTAATATTTTCGTCAGTAGTTGACGTCGAAGGCCTTCCAGAGCGGGGTTCATCTTTCACACTCTCTCTACCACGCTTAAATTCTGCTATCCATTTTTTGACGGATGAATATGACAGAGCACAATCGCCTAATGTACTGACCATGTCATTATGGTTGGCTTTTGATGATAGCCCCTTCTTATGGAGGTACTTAATGACGGCACGCTGCTCGATTTGCTCCATTCGCGGAAATTATGTCCGATTACTTTGTTAATAAATTTATAAAATCACAACTAATTATCGCACACGTTTCGAACTTCACACAATGAACTAGTCTGAACTGAACTAAATAATGTGGGTAGATTTGATTTTTAGAATTGAATGGATCTGTGTCAGGCCGAGTACTTTTCAATCCACCTAGGTATTTACATGTAAACATCAGCATTTTTTCTTCAAATCATTTTATTTTATTTCAGAAATGGATGCTCAAGATCGGCAAATAGAGCATTATTTGAATTGTTTATCCGATTCTGATGATAACAATGATACTTCGACTCAGAGAGAAGACGCGGGCTTAAGCGACATCGAGGATCACGTCAATATTGAAGAAGAGATCCCGACAGATTCAGACAGCAATGAAATTCAAGATGATGAACAACTGATCGGTTTACGACAGCAGCGGCGAAGCGGTGTCATCTTATCTTCTGATTGGGAAGCTGAAGAAAGCCCAGGTGTCAGGTAACTCCGCTTCATCACAACGTATAGTTATTCCACCTGCTCGCAATCTTAGAGGTAAAAATGGTCTTCAATTCCTTTTCAATCTGCGAATACAAGAACCCAGGCTAGAAATATCGTACATGTGATTCAACGACCGACAAATAACGCGAAGAATATGATGGAACTAATTGATTTCTTTTCTACTTTTATGACGGCTGATATGATACGTAATATAGTTGGACATACAAACGAAGAAATTGTATTGAGAAGTTCAAAATATAAAGAGCAAACCGCAACAATTTCATCAACATGCGAAGAAGAATTGACTGCTTTGTTAGGATTGCTTCTTTTGTCAGCTGCGAAAAAAGACAATCATCTCACCAGCTTGGAACTATTTGATCCTACATTTAGTGGAACCCGATACATATCGGTAATGTCACATGTCAAAAATTGCGTGAAGAAAGCGTTGATTGATTTAAAAATGTTAGACAGTTGGAATGAAGACAATCTTTTTCTTTTGTAGTCAATTGTTGATTTGTTGCAGCCAGTCAAGATAGCTTTGGAAACTTTAGGCTGACAAAACGCTTCATTACTCCTATAATTATTGCTACACAGCTGTAGCAATAATTGACAAGTGGCTCAAAAAATTTAATCGACAACGGCTTATAATGATTTGGCGAAGCGGTTCTTCGAAACTTTGAAAGCTCACCTAGAAGAGAGAAGATCACAACGAGTTGTATGCTTGTTAAAATATTTTTACACTGTCCACCACACCTCACAGTTTCAAAACACGGACTTTTTTTACCTTGAATATTAGTAAAAGTGCACTAATAGGCTTCGCGGAAGAACTGTAACAATACAAAATAAAAATACAAAAAGAAATGGGGATATTACCGAAATGCCTAGTAGCCGGACACCACATGTGGAAATAACGGGCGCTGAATCTAGTACTTGTAGCTCTCAAGTACACGACAATCCTGACGATTATTTTGTTAGTCAAATATAACAAGCAATAAAAAATATCTATATATAACAAGCAAAAAAATGTACCCGAGATTCCGTAAAAAAAGAGCAACATTAAAATAGGAGTTTCAGTTGTTTGAAGCAACCGGGAAAACGTACCCAAAATTTGGAACTATGTACTGTATTAAGTCTTAAACACAATTAAACCGACATCTGTTGAAAACGAGAGAGTGTTCTCCTTGTCCAGTGACAATATTACGAAAATCGGAAAAAGATAGTTGGACAAAGCTGTTGACGCTCTGAATTTTTTAAAAGCCAATTTTATTAAATCAACAATGAAGTCTAATTAACGTGTTAGTTGATTATTTAAAAAACTGATTTATGACTGTGGTTTATTATTTAAATTTAGATTATTTAATTATGAAACAAATCTGTGATTCTAAGATTTAACAATGTTATGATTATGACCAAAGATTAGATACTAGAATTACTAGATAAAAGTAAAGTTACTAAGAACTAGTATAATTTTTAACTAAGTTTGTTTTTAAAACTATAAGATTTAACTGCTTAAAAGTGAGTGCGTGTGGTTAAAAGATATAGAGAAAGCAATTATAAGGACTGAAGTTAACGTTAAAGTTAACCAGATTAATTTTCTGTTTAATAAGTGTCGATTTTTACAAAAAAAAAATGCCTTTTTTAATACGTATCACCAGAAATTAACTCAATTAAAATTATTCAAAAAAGGTTTACCCTCTTTAAAAAAATTCTTAAAAGTCACGAAGTCCCGGGAATTCCCGGGATTTTGACTGTAGGCTGTCTCGTGTCCCGGGACTTTGAAATTGTCGGGAATTCCCAAACCCTAGTAGTAAGTGACACCCTATTATTTAAATGACTTGTTTTTGGGCCTGATTAATAACATCTTCAGCTTTTTTAAGTCCACTGTTAGATTAGATGAATATATTTGAAAATGCGCTAGCTGACATACATTATTTTTAAGAATTACCCAACTCGATGGCAAGAAAAGTTGTTAAGCACGAAACCCATTAATCTCAACAATAATGCTACGCTTATCAATCTTTGGAAGGTATTATATATATATATATATATATATATATATATATATATATATATATATATATATATACCTGGGTGTAGGTAATTTGTTATGCTCAAATTTGTTACCTTGTTGGTACCAAGGTATAAAAGTTACTAAAGCATTATACTTAGCATGCCCTTTTTAAGTTTGTAACCGAGTTCATTGTAGACCTTGTTATTAAAGACACTTTGGAAAGAGGGTTAAGAGAGTAATATTTTTTTTATTCGTGTTTCAGTTAATGAATCACTCGAATCGGCTCTTGATAGAGAAATTCCCGTTATTTACATTACATATTGTATATAATAGTTGTGATTTGAAACTATTGTGAAACAAAAAATTCAGCTTGTTAGAGAACGAGATATAATACAGTGCCAGTGTAAAGATGATAACACGTTGTGCGTTACAGAGGAAGCGTCATTCCGAGACACCTCAGTCTCGGTCAGCGAAGATGTTTCGCAGCGAAGGCAAACCATCATCAGTTTCCGGATCAGGAATGCAGCCTTCCTCGTTACACAGCACACGGAGTCCACCGGAACTAAGAAAATGGCTCCGCAGGTATTTTTTTAAATTGCTGTATACGATTTTAAAAGTATAATTAGATATCTTCCCACAGCCGGGCACAGGTCACCTCAAATTTCGGAGTTTCATTTATTGATGGTATTATTATTGCCTTTAGCAATAAGTTTTAACATCTTCGGATCTGATATATTACCATTAGGTAGCATAGTAGTCAAAAACTGACTCTTATAAGTTTTATAAATTAGATTGCCGTAGCAAATTACAATATATCTTTTACTAGCAATCCGTCCCGGCTTTGCACGGGTGATCTCTGGATCTCGATAACCTACCGCGTCCAAATGTGAATATTATAAACGATCTAGGGACCCATTCAAATTCACACAATAAATGTCATTAAAATTGTCAAGTTTTAATTTGGAGCAAACCGAGCCAGCTGACTTTGATTCTGACGATAGCGCACGTGATAAGACATTCAATCCAAGGGTAGAAGAAATTTCTGAAGAGAGCCTAAGCTCTTCTGAAAATATTGGGATGTATCAAGAAAATGCTAGTAATGATGTATTAAATACAAGAAGGAAACGGAAAGGACAAAACTTGCACAAAACAATTCAGATTAAAAGAAACAAAGGCCAATCTTATGAAACAAAATCAGGAAAAAATATTCCGTCTAGAAAAGTTACCGCCTTGTCAGATTGCTGTAAAGTGTCGTAATAAAATTAGTAATAGAAAATCAAACGATACTTTTTGACGAGTTATGGGCATTAGCAAATTACAATAAGCGTTCGGCATATCTATCATCACTGATTTTCGATGCACCAAAAAAAAAAACACAATGCATACGTAATACTGGCGGAGAGCCTAAACCACGAACTATAAACCACACTTATCATTTAAAAGTAAATGGCCAGCTGATTGAGGTATGCAAGGGTTGTTTTTTAAAAACGTTTGCAATTTCTGTGATTTAGATGTGGATAGGCGTGTCGCTGCCGGAAACAAAGTCAATGGTGCCCTGAATGCATTAGTAATAAGGCAAGGCGTGATGAAGAGTGCACGCCTTGCAATACATAACGCAGTGTTGGTACCGACTTTGTTATATGGCAGCGAAACCTGGGTATGCCAGAAGAAGCATAAAAGCAAGTTGAATGCAGTGGAGATGCGATCTCTTCGTAAAATGTGTGGCGTTACCATAGCCGACCGAAAGCGAAACGAAGAGATTCGCAATATGGCAGGATTGAAAGATGACCTTATCACAAAAATTGATAGGGGCGTACTCCAATGGTTTGGGCACGTTGAACGAATGAGTGAAGACCGAATGGTGAAGAAAATATATAGAGCGAAAGTAAATATTAAAAGGTGTCGAGGTAGACCGAGACTAACTTTCGAAGACCATGTGAGCAAATTGCTCGAAGAGGGGAGGGTCAAGAGTACTCGGATACCTAGACGTGCATGTATGAAGAAGTTAATGAACCTGAAAGAAGCGAAAGAGGTATGTAAGGATCGTGACACTTGGCGATCTGTTCTCTCTGGCTACCCCGTTAGGGATTGTGCGTGAAGATAAGTAAGTAAGTAAGTAAGTTTGCAATTTCTAATAAATGCATTGAAGTGATTGTCAAGAAACAATCAAAGAGAGTATCTGGGATTACAAGCCCTGATAAACGTGGATCGTTTACTCCATCTAATAAAATTGGTAGTGATGTAGTACAAACAATAAAAGACCATATAAATTCGTATCCTTTGTATGAGTCACACTATAGCCGAAGTCACACAAATAGACGATATCTACCATCAGGACTCTCGTTGACATCATATCACATGTATAAGGAAAAGGTGACTAATAATCCTGTATCATATTCATTTTTTGGCAATGTTTTTCGAACAGTGGATTTATCTTTTGAAAAAACCATCGTTGGACACTTGTAATACGTGTGACTCATATAAAATGAAAATTAAATTGGCTTTACCGTCAGATATAGAAAATCCAAAACAAGAACTTGAAGCCCACCAAATACAAGCAGATTCAGCTTATGCAATAAAAAAAGAAAGACAAGGAGGAATGTACAGATGCGAAAAAGGGTATTTTTTTGACCTCCAACAATGTCTCCCAACTCCCTTTTTGAAAACCAATATCGTACCTATTTTACAAGCGGCTATTATGGACTTTCAATCTAACTGTATACGATTGCTTTGAAAAAAAAAAGTTTCTGCTACATGTGGCATGAAGCTGATGGTGGCCGTGGCGCAAACCAAATAGCTTCCTGCCTATTTAATTTTATAAAATCACTTCCATCTACTGTAAAAATAGTTACTTTTTACTCAGATACATGTGGCGGTCAAAACAAAAATATCCATGTGGCTGCTATGTTTCTTTGCATAAGCAAACTTATACCAGATATACGAATAGATCACAAGTTTTTAATCCCTGGTCATACTCACATGGAATGTGATTCTGTTCATGCTCAAATAGAGCAAAAAAAGAAAAATACTGACATGTCTGTACATTTGCCTAGAGACTGGTACAATTTGGTAAGATTGACAAGTTCAAATATTATTGTGATTATCATGAGAAATGATATGTTTCTTGATTTTGCAAGTTTGTACAAGGGTCCACTGCAATTAAGGAAGGTCGATTCATCTGGAGAAAAGTTTATATGGCATGATGTGAAATGGTTCCGGTACAGTGGTGAAAATGAATCAGGCACAATACAATTTAAAACAAGCATAGACTCGCCTGAATTCGAAAATATTTCTTTTAGTAGAAGAGGCAAAGCAAACGAACCGTAACGACTAAAAGAGATAGAAAGCTGACATCTCAAATACCTTCCTAAGTCATACGACCATTAGTATTGCGAGTGCATTTTACTCGCAGTGACGTATCCTTGAGCGGTTAGAGTTTTATTCGTCTGAGGGACGAATATTTATGAATAGATACACGTTTGATGAATACGGTTGCAAATTTTGAAATACGATTTTTGAAGATTTCTAGTTTGATGAAGTAGACGGTAAGTTTGTGATAATATTTTTAATTAGTCACAATTATTCAAGTACATTTTGTTTAGTAACATCGTGTGTATTTACATGTAAACATCCGCATTTTTTCTTCAAATCATTTTATTTTATTTCAGAAATGGATGCTCAAGATCGGCAAATAGAGCATTATTTGAATAGTTTATCCGATTCTGATGATGACAATGATACTTCGACTCAGCGAGAAGACGCGGGCTTAAGCGACATCGAGGATCACGTCGATATTGAAGAAGAGATCCCGACAGATTCAGACAGCAATGAAATTCAAGATGATGAACAACTGATCGGTTTACGACAGCAGCGGCGAAGCGGTGTCATCTTATCTTCTGATTGGGAAGCTGAAGAAAGCCCAGGTGTCAGGTAACTCCGCTTCATCACAACGTATAGTTATTCCACCTGCTCGCAATCTTAGAGGTAAAAATGGTCTTCAATTCCTTTTCAATCTGCGAATACAAGAACCCAGGCTAGAAATATCGTACATGTGATTCAACGACCGACAAATAACGCGAAGAATATGATGGAACCAATTGATTTCTTTTCTACTTTTATGACGGCTGATATGATACGTAATATAGTTGGACATACAAACGAAGAAATTGTATTGAGAAGTTCAAAATATAAAGAGCAAACCGCAACAATTTCATCAACATGCGAAGAAGAATTGACTGCTTTGTTAGGATTGCTTCTGTTGTCAGCTGCGAAAAAAGACAATCATCTCACCAGCTTGGAACTATTTGATCCTACATTTAGTGGAACCCGATACATATCGGTAATGTCACATGTCAAAAATTGCGTGAAGAAAGCGTTGATTGATTTAAAAATGTTAGACAGTTGGAATAAAGACAATATTTAAGATTTCGTCCTTTTTTTTTTTTTTTTTTTTTTTTTTGTTTTTTTTTTGTAGTTTATATTATGTGTTTTTTTTTTTTTTTTTTTAGCTTTCTTTTTCTTTTGTAGTCAATTGTTGATTTGTTGCAGCCAGTCAAGATAGCTTTGGAAACTTTAGGCTGACAAAACGCTTCATTACTCCTATAATTATTGCTACACAGCTGTAGCAATAATTGACAAGTGGCTCAAAAAATTTAATCGACAACGGCTTATAATGATTTGGCGAAGCGGTTCTTCGAAACTTTGAAAGCTCACCTAGAAGAGAGAAGATCACAACGAGTTAGAGTATGCTTGTTAAAATATTTTTACACTGTCCACCACACCTCACAGTTTCAAAACACGGACTTTTTTACCTTGAATATTAGTAAAAGTGCACTAATAGGCTTCGCGGAAGAACTGTAACAATACAAAATAAAAATACAAAAAGAAATAGGGATATTACCGAAATGCCTAGTAGCCGGACACCAGATGTGGAAATAACGGGCGCTGAATCTAGTACTTGTAGCTCTCAAGTACACGACAATCCTGACGATTATTTTGTTAGTCAAATATAACAAGCAATAAAAAATATCTATATATAACAAGCAAGAAAATGTACCCGAGATTCCGTAAAAAAGAGCAACATTAAAATAGGAGTTTCAGTTGTTTGAAGCAACCGGAAAACGTACCCAAAATTTGGAACTATGTACTGTATTAAGTTTTAAACACAATTAAACCGACATCTGTTGAAAACGAGAGAGTGTTCTCCTTGTCCAGTGACAATATTACGAAAATCGGAAAAAGATAGTTGGACAAAGCTGTTGACGCTCTGAATTTTTTAAAAGCCAATTTTATTAAATCAACAATGAAGTCTAATTAACGTGTTAGTTGATTATTTAAAAAACTGATTTATGACTGTGGTTTATTATTTAAATTTAGATTATTTAATTATGAAACAAATCTGTGATTCTAAGATTTAACAATGTTATGATTATGACCAAAGATTAGATACTAGAATTACTAGATAAAAGTAAAGTTACTAAGAACTAGTATAATTTTTAACTAAGTTTGTTTTTAAAACTATAAGATTTAACTGCTTAAAAGTGAGTGCGTGTGGTTAAAAGATATAGAGAAAGCAATTATAAGGACTGAAGTTAACGTTAAAGTTAACCAGATTAATTTTCTGTTTAATAAGTGTTGATTTTTACAAAAAAAAAATGCCTTTTTTAATACGTATCACCAGAAATTAACTCAATTAAAATTATTCAAAAAAGGTTTACCCTCTTTAAAAAAATTCTTAAAAGTCACGAAGTCCCGGGAATTCCCGGGATTTTGACTGTAGGCTGTCTCGTGTCCCGGGACTTTGAAATTGTCGGGAATTCCCAAACCCTAGTAGTAAGTGACACCCTATTATTTAAATGACTTGTTTTTGGGCCTGATTAATAACATCTTCAGCTTTTTTAAGTCCACTGTTAGATTGATGAATTTTGAAAGTAGTGCTTTTTTTTGAATTACCCAACTCGATGGCAAGAAAAGTTGTTAAGCACGAAACCATTTCTTGTACGCTTCCTTTGGAAGGTATTATACCTGGGTGTAGGTAATTTGTTATGCTCAAATTTGTTACCTTGTTTGGTACCAAGGTATAAAAGTTACTAATGCATTATACTTAACATGCCCTTTTTAAGTTTGTAACCGAGTTACATTGTAGACCTTGTTATTAAAGACACTTTGGAAAGAGGGTTAAGAGAGTAATATTTTTCTTATTCGTGTTTCAGTTAATGAATCACTCGAATCGGCTCTTGATAGAGAAATTCCCGTTATTTACGTTACATATTGTATATAATAGTTGTGATTTGAAACTATTGTGAAACAAAAAATTCAGCTTGTTAGAGAACGAGATATAATACAGTGCCAGTGTAAAGATGATAACACGTTGTGCGTTACAGAGGAAGCGTCATTCCGAGACACCTCAGTCTCGGTCAGCGAAGATGTTTCGCAGCGAAGGCAAACCATCATCAGTTTCCGGATCAGGAATGCAGCCTTCCTCGTTACACAGCACACGGAGTCCACCGGAACTAAGAAAATGGCTCCGCAGGTATTTTTTTTAAATTGCTGTATACGATTTTAAAAGTATAATTAGATATCTTCCCACAGCCGGGCACAGGTCACCTCAAATTTCGGAGTTTCATTTATTGATGGTATTATTATTGCCTTTAGCAATAAGTTTTAACATCTTCGGATCTGATATATTACCATTAGGTAGCATAGTAGTCAAAAACTGACTCTTATAAGTTTTATAAATTAGATTGCCGTAGCAAATTACAATATATCTTTTACTAGCAATCCGTCCCGGCTTTGCACGGGTGATCTCTGGATCTCGATAACCTACCGCGTCCAAATGTGAATATTATAAACGATCTAGGGACCCATTCAAATTCACACAATAAATGTCATTAAAATTGTCAAGTTTTAATTTGGAGCAAACCGAGCCAGCTGACTTTGATTCTGACGATAGCGCACGTGATAAGACATTCAATCCAAGGGTAGAAGAAATTTCTGAAGAGAGCCTAAGCTCTTCTGAAAATATTGGGATGTATCAAGAAAATGCTAGTAATGATGTATTAAATACAAGAAGGAAACGGAAAGGACAAAACTTGCACAAAACAATTCAGATTAAAAGAAACAAAGGCCAATCTTATGAAACAAAATCAGGAAAAAATATTCCGTCTAGAAAAGTTACCGCCTTGTCAGATTGCTGTAAAGTGTCGTAATAAAATTAGTAATAGAAAATCAAACGATACTTTTTGACGAGTTATGGGCATTAGCAAATTACAATAAGCGTTCGGCATATCTATCATAACTGATTTTCGATGCACCAAAAAAAAAACACAATGCATACGTAATACTGGCGGAGAGCCTAAACCACGAACTATAAACCACACTTATCATTTAAAAGTAAATGGCCAGCTGATTGAGGTATGCAAGGGATGTTTTTTAAAAACGTTTGCAATTTCTGTGATTTAGATGTGGATAGGCGTGTCGCTGCCGGAAACAAAGTCAATGGTGCCCTGAATGCATTAGTAATAAGGCAAGGCGTGATGAAGAGTGCACGCCTTGCAATACATAACGCAGTGTTGGTACCGACTTTGTTATATGGCAGCGAAACCTGGGTATGCCAGAAGAAGCATAAAAGCAAGTTGAATGCAGTGGAGATGCGATCTCTTCGTAAAATGTGTGGCGTTACCATAGCCGACCGAAAGCGAAACGAAGAGATTCGCAATATGGCAGGATTGAAAGATGACCTTATCAGAAAAATTGATAGGGGCGTACTCCAATGGTTTGGGCACGTTGAACGAATGAGTGAAGACCGAATGGTGAAGAAAATATATAGAGCGAAAGTAAATATTAAAAGGTGTCGAGGTAGACCGAGACTAACTTTCGAAGACCATGTGAGCAAATTGCTCGAAGAGGGGAGGGTCAAGAGTACTCGGATACCTAGACGTGCATGTATGAAGAAGTTAATGAACCTGAAAGAAGCGAAAGAGGTATGTAAGGATCGTGACACTTGGCGATCTGTTCTCTCCGGCTACCCCGTTAGGGATTGTGCGTGAAGATAAGTAAGTAAGTAAGTAAGTTTGCAATTTCTAATAAATGCATTGAAGTGATTGTCAAGAAACAATCAAAGAGAGTATCTGGGATTACAAGCCCTGATAAACGTGGATCGTTTACTCCATCTAATAAAATTGGTAGTGATGTAGTACAAACAATAATAGACCATATAAATTCGCATCCTTTGTATGAGTCACACTATAGCCGAAGTCACACAAATAGACGATATCTACCATCAGGACTCTCGTTGACATCATATCACATGTATAAGGAAAAGGTGACTAATAATCCTGTATCATATTCATTTTTTTTTGGCAATGTTTTTCGAACAGTGGATTTATCTTTTGAAAAAACCATCTTTGGACACTTGTAATACGTGTGACTCATATAAAATGAAAATTAAATTGGCTTTACCGTCAGATATAGAAAATCCAAAACAAGAACTTGAAGCCCACCAAATACAAGCAGATTCAGCTTATGCAATAAAAAAGAAAGACAAGGAGGAATGTACAGATGCGAAAAGGGTATTTTTTTGACCTCCAACAATGTCTCCCAACTCCCTTTTTGAAAACCAATATCGTACCTATTTTACAAGCGGCTATTATGGACTTTCAATCTAACTGTATACGATTGCTTTGAAAAAAAAAAGTTTCTGCTAAATGTGGCATGAAGCTGATGGTGGCCGTGGCGCAAACCAAATAGCTTCCTGCCTATTTAATTTTATAAAATCACTTCCATCTACTGTAAAAATAGTTACTTTTTACTCAGATACATGTGGCGGTCAAAACAAAAATATCCATGTGGCTGCTATGTTTCTTTGCATAAGCAAACTTATACCAGATATACGAATAGATCACAAGTTTTTAATCCCTGGTCATACTCACATGGAATGTGATTCTGTTCATGCTCAAATAGAGCAAAAAAAGAAAAATACTGACATGTCTGTACATTTGCCTAGAGACTGGTACAATTTGGTAAGATTGACAAGTTCAAATATTATTGTGATTATCATGAGAAATGATATGTTTCTTGATTTTGCAAGTTTGTACAAGGGTCCACTGCAATTAAGGAAGGTCGATTCATCTGGAGAAAAGTTTATATGGCATGATGTGAAATGGTTCCGGTACAGTGGTGAAAATGAATCAGGCACAATACAATTTAAAACAAGCATAGACTCGCCTGAATTCGAAAATATTTCTTTTAGTAGAAGAGGCAAAGCAAACGAACCGTAACGACTAAAAGAGATAGAAAGCTGACATCTCAAATACCTTCCTAAGTCATACGACCATTAGTATTGCGAGTGCATTTTACTCGCAGTGACGTATCCTTGAGCGGTTAGAGTTTTATTCGTCTGAGGGACGAATATTTATGAATAGATACACGTTTGATGAATACGGTTGCAAATTTTGAAATACGATTTTTTGAAGATTTCTAGTTTGATGAAGTAGACGGTAAGTTTGTGATAATATTTTTAATTAGTCACAATTATTCAAGTACATTTTGTTTAGTAACATCGTGTGTATTTACATGTAAACATCCGCATTTTTTCTTCAAATCATTTTATTTTATTTCAGAAATGGATGCTCAAGATCGGCAAATAGAGCATTATTTGAATAGTTTATCCGATTCTGATGATGACAATGATACTTCGACTCAGCGAGAAGACGCGGGCTTAAGCGACATCGAGGATCACGTCGATATTGAAGAAGAGATCCCGACAGATTCAGACAGCAATGAAATTCAAGATGATGAACAACTGATCGGTTTACGACAGCAGCGGCGAAGCGGTGTCATCTTATCTTCTGATTCGGAAGCTGAAGAAAGCCCAGGTGTCAGGTAACTCCGCTTCATCACAACGTATAGTTATTCCACCTGCTCGCAGTCTTAGAGGTAAAAATGGTCTTCAATTCCTTTTCAATCTGCGAATACAAGAACCCAGGCTAGAAATATCGTACATGTGATTCAACGACCGACAAATAACGCGAAGAATATGATGGAACCAATTGATTTCTTTTCTACTTTTATGACGGCTGATATGATACGTAATATAGTTGGACATACAAACGAAGAAATTGTATTGAGAAGTTCAAAATATAAAGAGCAAACCGCAACAATTTCATCAACATGCGAAGAAGAATTGACTGCTTTGTTAGGATTGCTTCTGTTGTCAGCTGCGAAAAAAGACAATCATCTCACCAGCTTGGAACTATTTGATCCTACATTTAGTGGAACCCGATACATATCGGTAATGTCACATGTCAAAAATTGCGTGAAGAAAGCGTTGATTGATTTAAAAATGTTAGACAGTTGGAATGAAGACAATCTTTTTCTTTTCTTTTTCTTTTTCTTTTGTAGTCAATTGTTGATTTGTTGCAGCCAGTCAAGATAGCTTTGGAAACTTTAGGCTGACAAAACGCTTCATTACTCCTATAATTATTGCTACACAGCTGTAGCAATAATTGACAAGTGGCTCAAAGAATTTAATCGACAACGGCTTATAATGATTTGGCGAAGCGGTTCTTCGAAACTTTGAAAGCTCACCTAGAAAAGAGAAGATCACAACGAGTTAGAGTATGCTTGTTAAAATATTTTTACACTGTCCACCACACCTCACAGTTTCAAAACACGGACTTTTTTACCTTGAATATTAGTAAAAGTGCACTAATAGGCTTCGCGGAAGAACTGTAACAATACAAAATAAAAATACAAAAAGAAATAGGGATATTACCGAAATGCCTAGTAGCCGGACACCAGATGTGGAAATAACGGGCGCTGAATCTAGTACTTGTAGCTCTCAAGTACACGACAATCCTGACGATTATTTTGTTAGTCAAATATAACAAGCAATAAAAAATATCTATATATAACAAGCAAGAAAATGTACCCGAGATTCCGTAAAAAAGAGCAACATTAAAATAGGAGTTTCAGTTGTTTGAAGCAACCGGAAAACGTACCCAAAATTTGGAACTATGTACTGTATTAAGTCTTAAACACAATTAAACCGACATCTGTTGAAAACGAGAGAGTGTTCTCCTTGTCCAGTGACAATATTACGAAAATCGTAAAAAGATAGTTGGACAAAGCTGTTGACGCTCTGAATTTTTTAAAAGCCAATTTTATTAAATCAACAATGAAGTCTAATTAACGTGTTAGTTGATTATTTAAAAAACTGATTTATGACTGTGGTTTATTATTTAAATTTAGATTATTTAATTATGAAACAAATCTGTGATTCTAAGATTTAACAATGTTGTGATTATGACCAAAGATTAGATACTAGAATTACTAGATAAAAGTAAAGTTACTAAGAACTAGTATAATTTTTAACTAAGTTTGTTTTAAAACTATAAGATTTAACTGCTTAAAAGTGAGTGCGTGTGGTTAAAAGATATAGAGAAAGCAATTATAAGGACTGAAGTTAACGTTAAAGTTAACCAGATTAATTTTCTGTTTAATAAGTGTCGATTTTTACAAAAAAAAAAATGCCTTTTTTAATACGTATCACCAGAAATTAACTCAATTAAAATTATTCAAAAAAGGTTTACCCTCTTTACAAAAATTCTTAAAAGTCACGAAGTCCCGGGAATTCCCGGGATTTTGACTGTAGGCTGTCTCGTGTCCCGGGACTTTGAAATTGTCGGGAATTCCCAAACCCTAGTAGTAAGTGACACTACCTACTACCTGGGTGTAGGTAATTTGTTATGCTCAAATTTGTTACCTTGTTGGTACCAAGGTATAAAAGTTACTAAAGCATTATACTTAGCATGCCCTTTTTTAAGTTTGTAACAGAGTTCATTGTAGACCTTGTTATTAAAGACACTTTGGAAAGAGGGTTAAGAGAGTAATATTTTTTTATTCGTGTTTCAGTTAATGAATCACTCGAATCGGCTCTTGATAGAGAAATTCCCGTTATTTACGTTACATATTGTATATAATAGTTGTGATTTGAAACTATTGTGAAACAAAAAATTCAGCTTGTTAGAGAACGAGATATAATACAGTGCCAGTGTAAAGATGATAACACGTTGTGCGTTACAGAGGAAGCGTCATTCCGAGACACCTCAGTCTCGGTCAGCGAAGATGTTTCGCAGCGAAGGCAAACCATCATCAGTTTCCGGATCAGGAATGCAGCCTTCCTCGTGAAAACAGCACACGGAGTCCACCGGAACTAAGAAAATGGCTCCGCAGGTATTTTTTTTTAAATTGCTGTATAAGATTTTAAAAGTATAATTAGATATACTTCCACAGCCGGGCACAGGTCACCTCAAATTTCGGAGAGTTTCATTTATTGATGGTATTATTATTGCCTTTAGCAATAAGTTTTAACATCTTCGGATCTGATATATTACCATTAGGTAGCATAGTAGTCAAAAACTGACTCTTATAAGTTTTAAAAATTAGATTGCCGTAGCAAATTACAATATATCTTTTACTAGCAATCCGTCCCGGCTTTGCACGGGTGATCTCTGGATCTCGATAACCTACCGCGTCCAAATGTGAATATTATAAACGATCTAGGGACCCATTCAAATTCACACAATAAATGTCATTAAAATTGTCAAGTTTTAATTTGGAGCAAACCGAGCCAGCTGACTTTGATTCTGACGATAGCGCACGTGATAAGACATTCAATCCAAGGGTAGAAGAAATTTCTGAAGAGAGCCTAAGCTCTTCTGAAAATATTGGGATGTATCAAGAAAATGCTAGTAATGATGTATTAAATACAAGAAGGAAACGGAAAGGACAAAACTTGCACAAAACAATTCAGATTAAAAGAAACAAAGGCCAATCTTATGAAACAAAATCAGGAAAAAAAATTCCGTCTAGAAAAGTTACCGCCTTGTCAGATTGCTGTAAAGTGTCGTAATAAAATTAGTAATAGAAAATCAAACGATACTTTTTGACGAGTTATGGGCATTAGCAAATTACAATAAGCGTTCGGCATATCTATCATCACTGATTCGATGCACCAAAAAAAAAACACAATGCATACGTAATACTGGCGGAGAGCCTAAACCACGAACTATAAACCACACTTATCATTTAAAAGTAATGGCCAGCTGATTGAGGTATGCAAGGGATGTTTTTTAAAAACGTTTGCAATTTCTGTGATTTAGATGTGGATAGGCGTGTCGCTGCCGGAAACAAAGTCAATGGTGCCCTGAATGCATTAGTAATAAGGCAAGGCGTGATGAAGAGTGCACGCCTTGCAATACATAACGCAGTGTTGGTACCGACTTTGTTATATGGCAGCGAAACCTGGGTATGCCAGAAGAAGCATAAAAGCAAGTTGAATGCAGTGGAGATGCGATCTCTTCGTAAAATGTGTGGCGTTACCATAGCCGACCGAAAGCGAAACGAAGAGATTCGCAATATGGCAGGATTGAAAGATGACCTTATCACAAAAATTGATAGGGGCGTACTCCAATGGTTTGGGCACGTTGAACGAATGAGTGAAGACCGAATGGTGAAGAAAATATATAGAGCGAAAGTAAATATTAAAAGGTGTCGAGGTAGACCGAGACTAACTTTCGAAGACCATGTGAGCAAATTGCTCGAAGAGGGGAGGGTCAAGAGTACTCGGATACCTAGACGTGCATGTATGAAGAAGTTAATGAACCTGAAAGAAGCGAAAGAGGTATGTAAGGATCGTGACACTTGGCGATCTGTTCTCTCTGGCTACCCCGTTAGGGATTGTGCGTGAAGATAAGTAAGTAAGTAAGTAAGTTTGCAATTTCTAATAAATGCATTGAAGTGATTGTCAAGAAACAATCAAAGAGAGTATCTGGGATTACAAGCCCTGATATCCGTGGATCGTTTACTCCATCTAATAAAATTGGTAGTGATGTAGTACAAACAATAAAAGACCATATAAATTCGTATCCTTTGTATGAGTCACACTATAGCCGAAGTCACACAAATAGACGATATCTACCATCAGGACTCTCGTTGACATCATATCACATGTATAAGGAAAAGGTGACTAATAATCCTGTATCATATTCATTTTTTGCGCAATGTTTTTCGAACAGTGGATTTATCTTTTGAAAAAACCATCGTTGGACACTTGTAATACGTGTGACTCATATAAAATGAAAATTAAATTGGCTTTACCGTCAGATATAGAAAATCCAAAACAAGAACTTGAAGCCCACCAAATACAAGCAGATTCAGCTTATGCAATAAAAAAGAAAGACAAGGAGGAATGTACAGATGCGAAAAGGGTATTTTTTTTGACCTCCAACAATGTCTCCCAACTCCCTTTTTGAAAACCAATATCGTACCTATTTTACAAGCGGCTATTATGGACTTTCAATCTAACTGTATACGATTGCTTTGAAAAAAAAAAGTTTCTGCTACATGTGGCATGAAGCTGATGGTGGCCGTGGCGCAAACCAAATAGCTTCCTGCCTATTTAATTTTATAAAATCACTTCCATCTACTGTAAAAATAGTTACTTTTTACTTAGATACATGTGGCGGTCAAAACAAAAATATCCATGTGGCTGCTATGTTTCTTTGCATAAGCAAACTTATACCAGATATACGAATAGATCACAAGTTTTTAATCCCTGGTCATACTCACATGGAATGTGATTCTGTTCATGCTCAAATAGAGCAAAAAAAGAAAAATACTGACATGTCTGTACATTTGCCTAGAGACTGGTACAATTTGGTAAGATTGACAAGTTCAAATATTATTGTGATTATCATGAGAAATGATATGTTTCTTGATTTTGCAAGTTTGTACAAGGGTCCACTGCAATTAAGGAAGGTCGATTCATCTGGAGAAAAGTTTATATGGCATGATGTGAAATGGTTCCGGTACAGTGGTGAAAATGAATCAGGCACAATACAATTTAACACAAGCATAGACTCGCCTGAATTCGAAAATATTTCTTTTAGTAGAAGAGGCAAAGCAAACGAACCGTAACGACTAAAAGAGATAGAAAGCTGACATCTCAAATACCTTCCTAAGTCATACGACCATTAGTATTGCGAGTGCATTTTACTCGCAGTGACGTATCCTTGAGCGGTTAGAGTTTTATTCGTCTGAGGGACGAATATTTATGAATAGATACACGTTTGATGAATACGGTTGCAAATTTTGAAATACGATTTTTGAAGATTTCTAGTTTGATGAAGTAGACGGTAAGTTTGTGATAATATTTTTAATTAGTCACAATTATTCAAGTACATTTTATTTAGTAACATCGTGTGTATTTACATGTAAACATCCGCATTTTTTCTTCAAATCATTTTATTTTATTTCAGAAATGGATGCTCAAGATCGGCAAATAGAGCATTATTTGAATAGTTTATCCGATTCTGATGATGACAATGATACTTCGACTCAGCGAGAAGACGCGGGCTTAAGCGACATCGAGGATCACGTCAATATTGAAGAAGAGATCCCGACAGATTCAGACAGCAATGAAATTCAAGATGATGAACAACTGATCGGTTTACGACAGCAGCGGCGAAGCGGTGTCATCTTATCTTCTGATTCGGAAGCTGAAGAAAGCCCAGGTGTCAGGTAACTCCGCTTCATCACAACGTATAGTTATTCCACCTGCTCGCAATCTTAGAGGTAAAAATGGTCTTCAATTCCTTTTCAATCTGCGAATACAAGAACCCAGGCTAGAAATATCGTACATGTGATTCAACGACCGACAAATAACGCGAAGAATATGATGGAACCAATTGATTTCTTTTCTACTTTTATGACGGCTGATATGATACGTAATATAGTTGGACATACAAACGAAGAAATTGTATTGAGAAGTTCAAAATATAAAGAGCAAACCGCAACAATTTCATCAACATGCGAAGAAGAATTGACTGCTTTGTTAGGATTGCTTCTGTTGTCAGCTGCGAAAAAAGACAATCATCTCACCAGCTTGGAACTATTTGATCCTACATTTAGTGGAACCCGATACATATCGGTAATGTCACATGTCAAAAATTGCGTGAAGAAAGCGTTGATTGATTTAAAAATGTTAGACAGTTGGAATGAAGACAATTTTTTTTTTTTGTTTTTGTTTTTTCCTTTTTCTTTTGTAGTCAATTGTTGATTTGTTGCAGCCAGTCAAGATAGCTTTGGAAACTTTAGGCTGACAAAACGCTTCATTACTCCTATAATTATTGCTACACAGCTGTAGCAATAATTGACAAGTGGCTCAAAGAATTTAATCGACAACGGCTTATAATGATTTGGCGAAGCGGTTCTTCGAAACTTTGAAAGCTCACCTAGAAGAGAGAAGATCACAACGAGTTGTATGCTTGTTAAAATATTTTTACACTGTCCACCACACCTCACAGTTTCAAAACACGGACTTTTTTTACCTTGAATATTAGTAAAAGTGCACTAATAGGCTTCGCGGAAGAACTGTAACAATACAAAATAAAAATACAAAACGAAATAGGGATATTACCGAAATGCCTAGTAGCCGGACACCAGATGTGGAAATAACGGGCGCTGAATCTAGTACTTGTAGCTCTCAAGTACACGACAATCCTGACGATTATTTTGTTAGTCAAATATAACAAGCAATAAAAAATATCTATATATAACAAGCAAGAAAATGTACCCGAGATTCCGTAAAAAAGAGCAATATTAAAATAGGAGTTTCAGTTGTTTGAAGCAACCGGAAAACGTACCCAAAATTTGGAACTATGTACTGTATTAAGTTTTAAACACAATTAAACCGACATCTGTTGAAAACGAGAGAGTGTTCTCCTTGTCCAGTGACAATATTACGAAAATCGGAAAAAGATAGTTGGACAAAGCTGTTGACGCTCTGAATTTTTTAAAAGCCAATTTTGTCAAATCAACAATGAAGTCTAATTAACGTGTTAGTTGATTATTTAAAAAACTGATTTATGACTGTGGTTTATTATTTAAATTTAGATTATTTAATTATGAAACAAATCTGTGATTCTAAGATTTAACAATGTTATGATTATGACCAAAGATTAGATACTAGAATTACTAGATAAAAGTAAAGTTACTAAGAACTAGTATAATTTTTAACTAAACTTAGTTTTAAAACTATAAGATTTAACTGCTTCAAAGTGAGTGCGTGTGGTTAAAAGATATAGAGAAAGCAATTATAAGGACTGAAGTTAACGTTAAAGTTAACCAGATTAATTTTCTGTTTAATAAGTGTCGATTTTTACAAAAAAAAAAATGCCTTTTTTAATACGTATCACCAGAAATTAACTCAATTAAAATTATTCAAAAAAAGGTTTACCCTCTTTAAAAAAATTCTTAAGTCACGAAGTCCCGGGAATTCCCGGGATTTTGACTGTAGGCTGTCTCGTGTCCCGGGACTTTGAAATTGTCGGGAATTCCCAAACCCTAGTAGTAAGTGACACTACTACTACTACTACCTGGGTGTAGGTAATTTGTTATGCTCAAATTTGTTACCTTGTTGGTACCAAGGTATAAAAGTTACTAAAGCATTATACTTAGCATGCCCTTTTTAAGTTTGTAACCGAGTTCATTGTAGACCTTGTTATTAAAGACACTTTGGAAAGAGGGTTAAGAGAGTAATATTTTTTTATTCGTGTTTCAGTTAATGAATCACTCGAATCGGCTCTTGATAGAGAAATTCCCGTTATTTACGTTACATATTGTATATAATAGTTGTGATTTGAAACTATTATGAAACAAAAAATTCAGCTTGTTAGAGAACGAGATATAATACAGTGCCAGTGTAAAGATGATAACACGTTGTGCGTTACAGAGGAAGCGTCATTCCGAGACACCTCAGTCTCGGTCAGCGAAGATGTTTCGCAGCGAAGGCAAACCATCATCAGTTTCCGGATCAGGAATGCAGCCTTCCTCGTTAAAACAGCACACGGAGTCCACCGGAACTAAGAAAATGGCTCCGCAGGTATTTTTTTTTAAATTGCTGTATAAGATTTTAAAAGTATAATTAGATATACTTCCACAGCCGGGCACAGGTCACCTCAAATTTCGGAGAGTTTCATTTATTGATGGTATTATTATTGCCTTTAGCAATAAGTTTTAACATCTTCGGATCTGATATATTACCATTAGGTAGCATAGTAGTCAAAAACTGACTCTTATAAGTTTTAAAAATTAGATTGCCGTAGCAAATTACAATATATCTTTTACTAGCAATCCGTCCCGGCTTTGCACGGGTGATCTCTGGATCTCGATAACCTACCGCGTCCAAATGTGAATATTATAAACGATCTAGGGACCCATTCAAATTCACACAATAAATGTCATTAAAATTGTCAAGTTTTAATTTGGAGCAAACCGAGCCAGCTGACTTTGATTCTGACGATAGCGCACGTGATAAGACATTCAATCCAAGGGTAGAAGAAATTTCTGAAGAGAGCCTAAGCTCTTCTGAAAATATTGGGATGTATCAAGAAAATGCTAGTAATGATGTATTAAATACAAGAAGGAAACGGAAAGGACAAAACTTGCACAAAACAATTCAGATTAAAAGAAACAAAGGCCAATCTTATGAAACAAAATCAGGAAAAAAATTTCCGTCTAGAAAAGTTACCGCCTTGTCAGATTGCTGTAAAGTGTCGTAATAAAATTAGTAATAGAAAATCAAACGATACTTTTTGACGAGTTATGGGCATTAGCAAATTACAATAAGCGTTCGGCATATCTATCATCACTGATTCGATGCACCAAAAAAAAAACACAATGCATACGTAATACTGGCGGAGAGCCTAAACCACGAACTATAAACCACACTTATCATTTAAAAGTAAATGGCCAGCTGATTGAGGTATGCAAGGGATGTTTTTTAAAAACGTTTGCAATTTCTGTGATTTAGATGTGGATAGGCGTGTCGCTGCCGGAAACAAAGTCAATGGTGCCCTGAATGCATTAGTAATAAGGCAAGGCGTGATGAAGAGTGCACGCCTTGCAATACATAACGCAGTGTTGGTACCGACTTTGTTATATGGCAGCGAAACCTGGGTATGCCAGAAGAAGCATAAAAGCAAGTTGAATGCAGTGGAGATGCGATCTCTTCGTAAAATGTGTGGCGTTACCATAGCCGACCGAAAGCGAAACGAAGAGATTCGCAATATGGCAGGATTGAAAGATGACCTTATCACAAAAATTGATAGGGGCGTACTCCAATGGTTTGGGCACGTTGAACGAATGAGTGAAGACCGAATGGTGAAGAAAATATATAGAGCGAAAGTAAATATTAAAAGGTGTCGAGGTAGACCGAGACTAACTTTCGAAGACCATGTGAGCAAATTGCTCGAAGAGGGGAGGGTCAAGAGTACTCGGATACCTAGACGTGCATGTATGAAGAAGTTAATGAACCTGAAAGAAGCGAAAGAGGTATGTAAGGATCGTGACACTTGGCGATCTGTTCTCTCTGGCTACCCCGTTAGGGATTGTGCGTGAAGATAAGTAAGTAAGTAAGTAAGTTTGCAATTTCTAATAAATGCATTGAAGTGATTGTCAAGAAACAATCAAAGAGAGTATCTGGGATTACAAGCCCTGATATCCGTGGATCGTTTACTCCATCTAATAAAATTGGTAGTGATGTAGTACAAACAATAAAAGCCCATATAAATTCATATCCTTTGTATGAGTCACACTATAGCCGAAGTCACACAAATAGACGATATCTACCATCAGGACTCTCGTTGACATCATATCACATGTATAAGGAAAAGGTGACTAATAATCCTGTATCATATTCATTTTTTGGCAATGTTTTTCGAACAGTGGATTTATCTTTTGAAAAAACCATCGTTGGACACTTGTAATACGTGTGACTCATATAAAATGAAAATTAAATTGGCTTTACCGTCAGATATAGAAAATCCAAAACAAGAACTTGAAGCCCACCAAATACAAGCAGATTCAGCTTATGCAATAAAAAAGAAAGACAAGGAGGAATGTACAGATGCGAAAAGGGTATTTTTTTGACCTCCAACAATGTCTCCCAACTCCCTTTTTGAAAACCAATATCGTACCTATTTTACAAGCGGCTATTATGGACTTTCAATCTAACTGTATACGATTGCTTTGAAAAAAAAAAGTTTCTGCTACATGTGGCATGAAGCTGATGGTGGCCGTGGCGCAAACCAAATAGCTTCCTGCCTATTTAATTTTATAAAATCACTTCCATCTACTGTAAAAATAGTTACTTTTTACTCAGATACATGTGGCGGTCAAAACAAAAATATCCATGTGGCTGCTATGTTTCTTTGCATAAGCAAACTTATACCAGATATACGAATAGATCACAAGTTTTTAATCCCTGGTCATACTCACATGGAATGTGATTCTGTTCATGCTCAAATAGAGCAAAAAAAGAAAAATACTGACATGTCTGTACATTTGCCTAGAGACTGGTACAATTTGGTAAGATTGACAAGTTCAAATATTATTGTGATTATCATGAGAAATGATATGTTTCTTGATTTTGCAAGTTTGTACAAGGGTCCACTGCAATTAAGGAAGGTCGATTCATCTGGAGAAAAGTTTATATGACATGATGTGAAATGGTTCCGGTACAGTGGTGAAAATGAATCAGGCACAATACAATTTAAAACAAGCATAGACTCGCCTGAATTCGAAAATATTTCTTTTAGTAGAAGAGGCAAAGCAAACGAACCGTAACGACTAAAAGAGATAGAAAGCTGACATCTCAAATACCTTCCTAAGTCATACGACCATTAGTATTGCGAGTGCATTTTACTCGCAGTGACGTATCCTTGAGCGGTTAGAGTTTTATTCGTCTGAGGGACGAATATTTATGAATAGATACACGTTTGATGAATACGGTTGCAAATTTTGTAATACGATTTTTGAAGATTTCTAGTTTGCTGAAGTAGACGGTAAGTTTGAGATAGTATTTTTAATTAGTCACAATTATTCAAGTACATTTTATTTAGTAACATCGTGTGTATTTACATGTAAACATCCGCATTTTTTCTTCAAATCATTTTATTTTATTTCAGAAATGGATGCTCAAGATCGGCAAATAGAGCATTATTTGAATTGTTTATCCGATTCTGATGATGACAATGATACTTCGACTCAGCGAGAAGACGCGGGCTTAAGCGACATCGAGGATCACGTCGATATTGAAGAAGAGATCCCGACAGATTCAGACAGCAATGAAATTCAAGATGATGAACAACTGATCGGTTTACGACAGCAGCGGCGAAGCGGTGTCATCTTATCTTCTGATTCGGAAGCTGAAGAAAGCCCAGGTACGTCAGGTAACTCCGCTTCATCAAACGTATAGTTATTCCATCTGCTCGTAATCTTAGAGGAAAAAATGGTCTTCAATTCCTTTTCAATCTGCGAATACAAGAACCCAGGCTAGAAATATCGTACATGTGATTCAACGACCGACAAATAACGCGAAGAATATGATGGAACCAATTGATTGCTTTTCTACTTTTATGACGGCTGATATGATACGTAATATAGTTGGACATACAAACGAAGAAATTGTATTGAGAAGTTGAGAGAGAAGAAGAGAATATAAAGAGCAAACCGCAACAATTTCATCAACATGCGAAGAAGAATTGACTGCTTTGTTAGGATTGCTTCTGCTGTCAGCTATGAAAAAAGACAATCATCTCACCAGCTTGGAACTATTTGATCCTACATTTAGTGGAACCCGATACATATCGGTAATGTCACGGGACAAATTTGATTTTTTGTTGAACTGCTTGAGATTTGACGATAAGTCAACAAGAGATGAACGTAAAGCACAAGATAAATTCGCGCCCATCAGAGACCTGTGGGAAGTTTTCATTCAGACATGCAGGGACAGCTATAAAGCTGGAACTTATGTTACAATAGATGAGCAACTACTAGGTTTTAGAGGACGTTGCCCTTATAGAATGTAAATTCCGTCAAAACCTAATAAATATGGCCCAAAAATCCTGATGCTATGCGATGCTAAAACTAAATATATGATAAATGCAATGCCGTATGTTGGAAAAGTTGAAACAAATGGTGATTCACTCGGATCTTATTATGTAAAAACTTTGTCTGAAACTTTGTGGGGCAGTAATCGTAATGTTACCATGGACAATTGGTTCACGTCTGTCCCTTTGGCTCATCAGTTACTAAAGGAACCATATAAACTTACAATAGTAGAAACCCTTCGAGCAAACAAACGTGAAATACCACCTGCAATACTTGATATCAAAGAAAGACCAATAGGTTGGTCTATGTTCTGTTATGATAAACAAAGCATGATAGTATCTTATAAACCTAAACATAACAAGAACGTTCTCTTGCTTTCTACCACTCATGGCAATGGTACTATTGCACCTTCTGGTAAACCAGACATTATTGAGTTCTACAATTCGAATAAAGGCGCCGTAGATACGTTCGCGCAAATGTGTAGTGGTATGTCTTGTAGCAGAAAGACGCAAAGATGGGCACTGTGCTACTTCTATGGCATGCTCAATCTGGCAATCATAAATTCATATGTTTTTATTTACGTACATAATAATGTAAAATAAGGTAAAAAACCAGCAAACAGACGATGTTTCATAAAAGATGTTTCAGTGAAAATGACCGAACCGTGGTTACGTAAGCGTCGTGAAATGCCAACTTTGAGGCGATGCCTAAAAAGGAAGATAGCAGAAGTTATGAATGAAACGCCTATCAGCGATACGCCTGGTCCAAGTGGAACCCAAAAAATAATTGTAGCTTTTGTGATTACAATAAGCGTCGAATGACGAGGTTCCAATGTAACCACTGTAAAAAGTTCATGTGTATGGACCACCGTGGCCTGATGTGTCTGCAACGTTCAGAATAAATATGTTTCTGTTTTATCACATAAGTTTTAAATAACCAACAAAAATTAAATAATACAATTATCTATTTGTTTTCTTTCATTAAAAATTTCATAAATAACCATACCTGAACATGTTCGTCTGTGAGACGAATGTTTATTAATAGTGTTATTCCTACATATGTTTATGAATCTAGAGTTAATGATGTCTAATATTTATAAATTTAAAGTATAACGTTGTAATTTGCAAACTTTTGTAATGTATAAGGAGATAAGTAATTAAAATGTTTTTTATTTGATTTTTCATAATAAAGTAAAACAAAACATGTCAATTATTTAATTATAAAATAATTATTTTTGTATTTTTTTTAAATAAAAATTTTAAATACATTAATGCTTGCAATTAAAAGTTGCCAAAACAAATTTTAACATGTACTCTCATTATTTTATTACTAAATAAATGGTTAATTTCTATTAAAGCAAATGAGTCATTTCTTTATATTGCCCCTGCTGTAAAAATTAAGTTTGTGTAGTTGTCCCCTTTTTCCTTAACACCACAGAAATAAGGATGGCCCTCATATATTCATTTGATTTGCAGAAGAATATAAAAAAGGTAAAAATTCTTTAATATACCCATCCAAAGAAATGGAAATATGTTTTGTCCGAATTCAAGATTTAGTGACAGACATACTAAAAAAGATGTTCCAATAAAAGGCTTGAAATATAAAATAAAAATGGTCATTGACATATTTGTTAACTTTCCATTCAGTTGTGAAACACGTAAAAAAAACGCACAATACATGATTTTTTTCTACAGTTATGAAATTTATCTAAAAATTATAATACAGTCAATTGTTTTGATCCGTTTGTATTATTTATTTAATTTTTTTTTAAAAAGAATATTAACAATGCTATAAACATTACTAATATTCCCCTTAACCATTCGTGGTAAGCTTAAATTGCTTGTGTTACGAGTGGTTCACGCCAGTAGTCGAATGGTGGATTCGAACCCACGACCTTTTTGAGTTCGCGGTCCGCGCCCTGCCATTAGGCTACTGTCGCTTTATATATAGTATGTATTAATTAACATGCTTTTATTGGTTTCAGGTGTTTCCGGAAATACAATTCGGCGCATAGTGGACAAAGGTATAAAGAATGGAGGTAAATTCGTCACGCCCAGAAAACACAGGAAAGGCCGACTCAAGGAAGAGATCGATGATTTAAATCTATGTGCCATTCGTCAAAAAGTTCATTTGTTCTACACAGTGCAGAAAGGAGTGCCTACACAAAAAAAAAAAGTTGTCAGAAATAGTCGGAAGCAACCGAAAGGATCTCTCTGATATGATAAAGAAAAAGCAACCTAAACCATTGAGATTGCAAAAACACGAAATTTAAGCTGTTTCAGCAGAGCCAATCACAGCCATTAAGTGGTTTATAAAAAGAACACAAAAAGGTTTTTTTTTTTTATTATTAAATCATGTAGTATCATGCAGTCATACTTTTCTCCATTTTATGCAATAGCAAACTTCAAAGCCAGTTTCTTTATTCTTTATTTTTAAAGAAAGCCTTCCGCCCTCGATTTCGAATCTGAAAAACGGTATTTAGAAATCCGTATTATAAAACCGATACCTACCAGAAATGAGACCGTACCGAAAAGCGAAACCTTTAATAAAACTTAAATGAAGAACTGCAACGAAGTTTGAAACCGGTTTTTAATCCCTGGCTCGACCACGAAGCATTAGCTAGGTTTCTTTAGTCGTGAACAGGACATACATATTTTTATCACACTATCAAAGGACTAATTTTTATACCCGTGTCCAAAATTTTTCTAATTAAACTAAATAAATGAAATGATTATGCTCGTTGCTTAAACCCGCAGTATGCATCGCATCGCCTCAGATTTACATTTCAAAATACATTCAAATAGATAACAACATAAAAGTTCACTTACAATACCAACAAAAAACAAACTAAGATGGATGAGACTTTTTTGAATTATAATAGCACTTGAGTCTTTCTTCTTTGATTTCTATTAATTTCCACAATTTTATACTCTTAGTGTTATTTCCATTAACTATTTCACTTCTCAGAAATTTTAAATACTCTATCTAGATTTTCTTTATGATAGTCTAGCTCTTCTGTTAACGCCATAGCTAGGGCGTTTGGTGTGATCTCCATACCCAGGTAGTCGCGAAGCAGTTCCTGTGACAATCCAACATAAATCTTGACAACGTGCAACACATATTTAAATAATAATTTCTTATGTTTACGCGATCACTACACATTTAAATGAAACTAGTTTTTCCGGATTTTATCGCTTATACTAACTTTTCTATATTTCCTCGACGTCGAAAACCTCAGTCATGGGGGCATGACTATGGGTGCTGTAAAGTACTCGAAACGTCGGGAATATAAGTTCATTTAAACATATTTATATGTTAAGCAAGTTTATTGAACACTAATCTTGATTACAACAGACGTAACGCACATCGCTACAAAACTTACGATAGCATACACACTATCTAGACTACGAGTAGATGCTTGGTGGTCCACCACTATGCGATTTACTAGGAACTTTCTTGCTCACATGACTTCTTTGTTGAATCGTATAACACCTGCGATCCTTCTGGACTGATACGACTAAGGGACCTTCGAGAAACAATGCAACATGCTTTCAAAAAGCCATGTTGCATTTGTTCATAAACGACGGTGGACACTTACCATCAGGTGAGCAGCATGCCCGTCTTCTATAACAAAATCTTAAAATATCGTACCGTAAGCCGGGCAGCCGCGTCAAAAGTGCAAGACATCTGGTGCAGCGATCGTCAATCCGTGGTAGATAGTATAGTAGTAGAATAGATATTAGTATAAAAAAAAGAAAGAATAGACCCTATTTACTAACCGAGGATCCTTTTTACTAGAAACGAGTTATTATAGTATGTGCCAAATCGATTGAGAACAACGGACAATGACCTCAGATATGAGCCGAGTGTCAAAAGGTGTAACTTACAAAATCTCAATTTAGATGTGATAACAATATTTAAATATTGATATTATTCACACTTCTAGGACATATGTTTTGTTTTTTTTTGTTTCATCAATAATATTGCCTGTGGTTCCTATAAACATTGTAAAATCTTACGGTACATCGCGAAAAATGTGTTATATTTTATATTTCAATTTATGGTAAGTAACGCAGCAATTCATTTAATAACAGTTTCATATTTAAAAAATATATTTGAAGCAATATAATCACCATATTGAGCTTTTGAAAATGCATCCCTTTAAAATAAACAAAACGCGCGTTACGTCAGTTCGTTCTAAAAGAAACGTGACAATGGCAGCCATATGACATTGAAAATAAAGTTTTATCTTTTGAATAAGTACCTACTTATTTGGTGTCGTTATCACTAGAATCTTTGTATGTATTATAAATTAATGATTTTTGTTGGTAAATGAAAAAAGTACTTTATAACAATAGATGATTTTTCTTCTACAGCGATCTTTTACGTAACTTTTTAATAATAGTTTATAAATATATATTATATCAATCATTATTAAAAAAAAATTAAAAAAATCATTATAAATAAAGAAAGTACTATAACTCGTACGAATTAACTTGAGACCTGGGCCGATGACGTAATTGTCAATGTACGGTGTGCAAAATAATGCGTCGTAATATTTTTTTATTTGAAATTTTTGAGATTTGCATGAGATTATTAATAAAATCAATATAAAATGTTCTGGCAAGGGGTGAAGTAATAAGTGATATACTGTTGCCATTTTTATATATTTTAAATATTTATTTTTTATAATATATATATAATATTATTTTTAGTTAACGCGTCAAGGAAGGACAAAGAAATAAACATACACACTTTCTCATTTATAATATTATTAATTTATTTATTATACACTTTATTGCACTATAAAAAGTGTTACAGATTCGTACACAATAAAAATACAAAGCATAACAGGCGACCTTATTGCTAAAAAGCAATCTCTCCCAGGCAACCTTAGGGTGAAAGTGAATCAATCTTGGATAAGCGGAACAGCACAAACTATGTAAAATCAAGGAATAGAAGTAAGGAATATTAATAAGGATTTATTATAATATTTATTATTCATTGTCACTGTATACGATCGGTTCTATTCCGTCCATTAGATCGTACTCACTTTCACTCTCTGAGCTGGATTCTTCCCCTCCGAGGGATATAATTAATTCTCTGTGTTGGATTTCTCCAAGTCTATCACTCTCCCAGTATTCATTTTCTAATCTTTCGATATGGTTAATTTCTTTCTTCCAATCGGAAGCCGTTATAGACTGTATTGCGTCTCTTGTCAAACCCTCTATTTCCCTTTCAAACTGGTTAACATTTTAGCTGCCACCCTTTGTTTTATTAAGTTCCATATATATTCGATAGGGTTCAAATCACAATGGTAGGGTGGCAGCCGTAATACCTCGTGTCCATGCTCCCTCATGAGTTCGTCCACTATATATTTTTTCAGTGGTTTATTGAGCAGTATTATATGGTACAGTTCCGGTTTCGTCATTTTTTCATCAAAAGGAATGTTCTTTTTCCGAAGCCAACTCTGCATCTCACCTTTCAGGGACGAGCTCACGGGTGGTTTTTCAGACTGCGTTGAGTGGTAGGGAGCATTGTCTATAACGACGAGACTGTTTTGAGGTAAGTTTGGGATTAGTTTTTCTGTCAACCACTTTTTAAAGTTTTTACTATCCATTTCGTGATGGTAGTCCCCGGCATTACTTTTGCATTTGTAAAACAATTTCAGCACCAGAGATAAAGCCGTTTTCACCGCCAGCGTGCACCAATATCCACCGCTGTCCTGGATTATCATTTTTTCTAATGCTTGCGTCATTGTTATTTTGCCAGCATTTGCGCACGGTATAGTGGGAGTGAATCCATGTTTCGTCTAAATAAGTTATGGGTTTTTTGTCCACCCCAAGTTCATAGTTTTCTTTCTTCCTTCGTAAATAACGGGCTCTCCGGGCAGCAATGTCTGGCTTTTGTATTAAGACTTGTCTTGCGTTCTTACATTTTTTAAATTTGTACCCCAAGTAGTCAACGAGTATTCGTTGTAACGTGGTTTTTTCACCTGTAAAATAAAGATTTTATTTTTAATTTTAGTTATCGCGTGGTAATTTTTCAAAAAATAATTTAAAATTAAATATCTCAGAAATGGTTCACTTTTGCATATGGGTGTCCATCACTGACCTCTATATATACAAGTACGCTGGACTGGCTATACCATAGAAAATGACTGTGCCAATTTGAAGCGCCGCTAAAGCATGTCTTGAAAAATAAAATTGACATAAAATGCCAAAGTCTGTTGTCATATTTAAATTGTCGTATTTAATAAATCTGTGTTTTCAACTTTTAAACTAAAAAACGAAAGTATTTTATGTTGTTTGATTGTGTATAATATTAGTTACACAATAAGAATTATTTTTATTAATAATGAGAGTGTGCGTAATCTGTAAAACTCCTTACCAAAAGAGAAGTGGTATAAATTTCACAAGTAAGTGAATTTGCAGCACATATGAAACAAATTAAAACTATTTGATAATATAAGTACTTACAAATTTGTTACTAATCTTAATATCATATATACCAACATTTTTGGCTGTATATTACTGCATTTTGATAAACAATAAAATTCAATAGGGTTGTCGAGTTCCTTGTTTATAATACTTATCGATATTCTTTCCTACCCATATCTGTTAACAAACAAAGTCGCCAACAACAGACGATTATCAAATGTTTATTAATTAAGAGGTTTCCAAGTGAACCTAGATTAAAATTATGGCTTAAAAGCATAAATATTGTGAATTGGCGTCCGAAACAAAATGATCATATTTGTTCTGAACATTTCACAGACGTCTGTTTTATTAGAGGTGAGAACTGCACCACTTTGAAAAAGTGCAGTATACCGACAATATTTTATGGTAGTACCAGCACCAGTAAGTATAAAAGTATTAGATTATTATTTCGAATGTTTTTTTTTATTTCTTCTTTCTTTATGTTTCACCAAACTCAAGGGCCATAGCCAAGTGTCGAAAGGTCGCCTGATGATGTCGAGCAACGTTGTATGTGTTTTAGTGGGCTGCGGCTAGAGAATATTCCTCTCCCTGTACCGCTGTAGTCGAGGTGGAGTCGTAAGGCAATGCCCCACTCGATTTTCTTTCGCGACTATGGTGAGGTTGCACCACTTGATGCTTATAAGTGATAGTTTTCCCTGGCTCCATTCACATATCGGGCTCGGGGAGTCCATTGTTCAGGTGGAGTTAGAGGACGCGAAGGGCAGCGTGGCTTGTTTCTGGTGCGCCTTATCTGAGAATGAAAACGGGGGGAGAATTCAGCAACTAAGGAGGGGCTGCCATTGGGCGGCATTATTTACACTTACGGCAAATTATGTGGACCTCAAATCTTGGATTGCGCTTTATAACAGTTGTATTTTGGTTTAAGCTGGTTCTTGTTTGAATGAATAAACTCTATCACCAACTACTAACTCTGGAGTAACAATAGCCAGTATTGGCTTCTCTACATTTGTGTTACAAAACGCAAAATGAAGTTATCTTGGTGTAAGACCAAAGTGTAAATTATTCGAGGGTTAGTTACTCTGGTTTAATATAGTATTTGGTCGAATCCATCCTTAATACACGATTAAATAACCGTGTAATAATTTGGACAATGTCATCCGAAGAGCTCCTATCTCTATAAATGTTTCCTTGGTTTAAGATCTTTGTAGAATATTTAGAGACGATACCAGGAGACCCGACGGTATGGGTTTGGATGCTTGAGAGAGAGAGAGAGAGAGTGAGAGAGAGAGAGAGAGAGATAAAGCTTTAGTGTGGGATACTACTTGCGAACACTTTGACAGCATCCCAACTCAGGGGTACCTCGTCTAAAGCAGAGGTGGCTTTAGAGGCAAATGAACTAAGTAAATAGCCCGGAATATCTAGAAGATGAGTACATATTTGTGCAATTTGCTGTAGAGACTATTGGTCCGTAGAATGCACGTGCGGTGTAGTTCCTAAAAAACTGTTTCTGCGACTTATCTTCGCTGCTAGTAATAAGAAGTTGTTTAGTTTGTTGTTTCCTCGCTTGAAGGCTAAGTATAGCCATTCAGAGAGGACACGTAGCCAGCATTCTTGGGACGATAACACCGAAAGTAGGACTGTATGACAATTTCTGTTTTTTTTTTATATTGTTATTTATATTTCGAAAATGACGTTGTAAATAACTGATAACAATGTAATTCAAAGTTTATATTTTTTATACTATTTTGCTCGTACGCGGTGCATTGCTGCCGCAGAAGAAGTAATTGTGGAAATATCCTTAAAATGTGAAACAGTATATTGTATAATTAGGAATGATAATACAATCATTTAAATAGAATGATATATAACTTTGTATAACTTTCAAATAAATAGTCAGTATAATACGCACGCCATCTAATGTCAGTTAATTGTACCATGCATATAACCTTCGCACAAGTGCAACCAATAAGTTGACTAAGTTTTACCGCAATCTGATGAACGGTATAGCATCGTAGAAAGTATGAACAAACATAAACTTTTATATAGTAGAAAATACGAGTGTTTTACTGTGTATAGATAGACCTGTATTTGATTAGAATAGGCGTTATTATAGCAGCTGATTTGTTTTTATAATACTAGAACAAATTAACGGTTGACAATAAATTATTTTAGAAATTATGTTTTTATTTTTATTTTGTGTAGTTAGTTTAATCTTAATAATTTTAAGTTGAATAGTCAAGGGCTACGATGACTATCCGATTACAGAACCAGAGCACAAAACTAATCCAACTGTTGAGATATGTAAGACAGGTTAACGTAACATCCCCGAAATACTTTACCGCTGCATTGGAGACATTTTCAAGCTACTGGACTGGAAAGGATACGGTATGAACGTCGATGGCGTGTACGTCACTCACCTTCGATTTGCCGACAATATATATAGTCTTTATGGCAGAATCGCTGGAGGACCTACGCATTATGTTCAATGATCTCAATAGTGTTTCCCAACGGATAGGTCTTAAGACACATGGACAAAACAAAAGTCATGTGTAATGTCCATGTCACAACTATGCCGGTGGTTTTTGCGAGCTTTCAGCTGAAGTTGTTGACGAGTATTTTTACTTGGGACAAATAGTCCGACTAGGCAAGTTCAACTTCGACAGATTTAACTCGGCTGGGCAGCGTTCGGGAGATTACAACACATCTTCAGTCATCGTCATCATCGTCAGTCAGTGTCAGTGATGACCTATGGATCTGAGACGAGGTCTTTCACTGCCGGCCGCATGAGGAAGCTCGAAGTCGCTCAGCGAGCTATGAAAAGGGCTATTCTCAGGGGTTCAAACTAAGAAATGAGGATATCTGCAGCAGAACCACAGTGACCGACATCGCCCAATGGATTAGTAAGCTGAAGTGGTTATTGACCGGCTATATAGCTCGAAGAATCGAAAACCGATGGGGAAAAAACGTTCTCGAGTGGCAGCCTCGTACTGGCAGGTGAAGTGTAGGACGTTCCCCCACTAGATGGAGTCAAAACCTGGTAAGACATACAGGAAGTTGATGGATGCAGGTGGCTCAGGACCGTGCTTTGTGGCATTTCTTGGGGGAGGCCTATGTTCAGCAGTGGACTTGTGAAGGGCTTTAATGATAATGAATGGATATGAAGACTGCAGACGATATCTGTTCGGGAGCGAATGGGTAGGGTATTCTATGACGATGATGAAGCTTGAAGTTTCCGAAGGTTGTTTGGTTGCGTGTTCAGATCACGTCGGGTGGTCACCATTGTGGCAGTGGTGGGAAAAGGGGAGATCTCCCACCGGGCAAGGTGTTATGCCCGGGGAGTGGTCAACACTCCATGTGATAGTTCGGAGATGTTCTATATATACTGTTTCTGATTCGGAATGTTGATAGCGTGATTTAGACTTCGGTGTATTTCGATTGTGGCGCGACGACAGCGCCGCTACAAATGATAATGGCATTACATTAATATGATGCATAAATAGTATGGATGTTACGGGTAGAGTCCATCTATACATAGAGTCCATGCTATTTAGGTATAGATAGGGAATAGAATTTTATCGATATAATTTGGTACACTGTCTCAACCCTATTATTAGTTCCGTGGACGTGCACTTCTGCTGTCAGCGCCAAAATGGCGGAAATCAAATTGTTTCATCATGTCATGGTGTATAGCCAGTCCAGCGTACTTGTATATATAGAGGTCAGTGGTGTCCATACATAAAATTGTTGCAAATTACCAGTTCTAGCACCCCTAACAAGATTATGCTTGAATTAAATGTCACCTTGTATATGATATGACCTAAAGTATGATATATAATACATATAAAAAATGTCAATAAATATGAGTACGTACCTGGAAAATTTAGATCTGCTTTTGCAGCCGTTAAAATCTTTTTCAATGTTGGAATTTCTTTCCGTACTGTGTAGAAACTGTTGACAAGGTTTTTTTTTTTTAAACTTTTAAAACTTTTAGAGCAAGTGTCCGTGCTTGGCTATGTATTGTCTTTCCTCCCATCTTTTTTTAAAAATAAAAAAGGCGGAGTAACTCCTAAGCGTCACAAGAAAACGGCACAACACAACGTCCAAACTTAACAATAAAACAACGCAATTAACAACAAACTGATAAAATAACGTTCAAGTATAACAAAAACAAACAAAAGTCCAAACCAAACAACAAACAATTATCAAAAATATCGAACTAGAGTCGAGACGCGTATCCGTAACAAAAATGCTATCGGTACTGAGCGCGCACGGCAAGCGCGGGACGCGGTGCGGGGAGTCGGGAAGGGGGTCGCATTCCAGCGGAGTCTCGAGTTAATTCGTACGTGTTATACATATAAAATGTGCCTATATATTGAAGGTTTGTAACCCCTGGTTAAACGACCGACAGGTCATTGTTCGTTTTCCTTAATCGATTTGGCACATACTATAGAACCTTTATACCAGTCATTTACCGTTAAGAGTAACAACGCATCTACATTTTGATTATTAATTTTGATGTCTATGGGCCACAGCATCCACTTGCCATCATTTGGACTGTGTACTCATTTGACACCCTTATTCTACATGAAAAGGAGACACTTTACTAATATGTAGGTTTAACTATCTACGACTGCATTGCTGTTTACCAATTTAAACAATCCCTAGTTGTAATTTATAACAAAGCGTCACCTGTGGTGGTTTTGCGCCGCCATGCTGCAGTACCCCTCGCCGGAAGTCCTCTCCAGCTGATCGGCTGAGTGGAGAAAGAGAGAAACGCTGACTCCATACACTCCAGGCCAGCGCCCGAGAGATCAAGTATGAGTAGTACTTCGCTCCGTAACCCACCAGGTGGCTAAACCGGTGCTGCCACGCCTGCGATGTTACGGTATTATTCAGATTCAAACATCGAATAAAACTACTTTTACAGATTTTATCCTGTCTAATTTAACTTATTTTTGATTTCCGATGTTTTGTGTGATTTGCATCGCTTATAGTCACGGAGGGACTGAGAAGTTTGACGTCCCGTTATCATAGTTAATTAAAAGCTCTAGAACTTATCAACCACTTATTTTAAAATAAAGCTTGATTACACCAGGTTACCGTAGGTACTGTACAGCACTATATTCGGATAGAATCATCAAAGTGAATGTAAGTAAGAGTATTTACACATGTATGTCTTTATATAAGTTAAAAAAAATTGATTTTTCCGGACCGATACGACCTGGGGACCTTCAAGAAAAGAGCTTACTCCTTTCTAAAGTGCCGGCAACGCACCTGCAATTCCCCTAGTGTTGCGGTTGATCATGGGCGGCGGTAGTCACTTAACATCAGGTGAGCCGCATGCTCGTTTGCCCCGTCTTCTATAAAAAAAACAGTTCCACATAAGCCACATCGGAGTATTCACTTCTTTCTATCATCAAATTTCCGCAAACGAAAGTAAATCTTAAGAACTAATATATGTTGGTCCTGAAATAAGTTAAGTATACATAACGCTATAAAATTCATAAAAGGAGTTTCATTCTAACAATGTGTAATGTGCGCGTTACTTTGACCAGCATATCAAAAGTTCACTGCTGAACATAGGCCTCCCCTATGGATTGCCTCACAGGGGAGATTTTGCCATAGTTCCCACGTTAAGCAGGCGTATTGGCAACCACAGTTTTTTGGTATTAGGAAGACGCTGCTGCCATCTCGTGGTTTGTTTCCCTCTATCGCCTCTTGCGACGCCCACGGGACGACATAGTGGATATTTTTACACTGCCACTACAGTCAATTTATTTTTATATATCTTAATTTAATTTTTTTTTTACTAAATATAGGATTGATTTTTGTCATAGTAACCACGCTTATTGGTTGTTGGTAACCGCAACTGTGTACTTGAGCTTAGTGTCTGCGTAAGAGAATCCACTATACTTCGTAATCCGGGGATGGTATGGGGTAGTGGATATTCTGACACCGCCACTACATGATAGCGTTAGCGTAAATATAAGAAATTATTATATTTAAACAGTCTGGGTGTTGGCTAGGGGCCGTGAAAACTCGTGGGCATCTTCCAAAGTTAAGAGAATTTTGCTGTAACCAGGCGGATTATCGATCGTATTGCTAATCGAGATAAATTAATTATAATTTAATTGCCAGGAAAACGTTCGAATGCTCGTTTTTTTAAACGATAAACATTTAATCTTTCTCAATAATCTAATTCATGATTTTTCATCGGCTACTTTTTTATTTGGATTCTTTATTTCTTGAAATAAAGAATCCCAAAAACTTTTCAATTAATTTAACTTTTTGTCCACCATATGTCGTACATTTTTGTCGTGCTGGACAAATATAAAATAGTTGCATGCACAACGAAGAATAGAAGACATCTTCGCCTTATTACGTAGGGACTTGAAACGGTTATTTTTATTAATATTAAATATGTAGCAATCCACAATACCGTGTTTTCGACATATGGCAGTCCGTAATACTGTTTCTGCACTTGCTTCAATATGTCCGTAGTGGAGCCGCCAAAAACGGCGTCAGGTCCGTGGTACTGCTGATCAAGTGCCGAATAAAATACCTGTAAAGAAATAAGTGTATGCTACTGTTATAATTAAGATTAATCACATACCTATAGTAACATATGTAAAAAATCACTAACCGAAGTAAAAACTACTAAAAAAATTAAAAATATTGAAATGGTTACAGCGATTATACAACCCATTGTTAGGCAATGACCTTTTATTTCTAAGAGGGTTGGTTACGGTATAAATCGCCACGCTGCTCCAGTTCATATTGGAGAACTTCACAAGTGAAGTATGAACGTAAAATTCGCATGTATCCGAAGTTAAATACCTCACAATGTTATCTTTCATAGCCGAGCACGTGGTAAATCAGTTGATTGCTTTGACATTTGTAATTTAACAGATAGATCCTCAAAAATCGTAGTAAAAAAAATTTTATCTCTTGTATTATAACTGATTTATTTAAATTAGACCCACAATTTTTTACTCGTCATTAATTAAGTCAATTGTAGATTTTAACATCATTATTTATTTATGTGCTTGTAATGAACTATTAATATATGATCAAATATTTATTACTTAAGGTGATAGACTGTACGAATCTTTAAATGATGTTTGATTGAATGTTCATTAGTGTTAAACTATGAAAGGAAGCAAGTGTTTTTACGTCTTAACGTTTGTACTTCGTTTTAAATTCTTGATTCATTTCACATATTTAAAAAGTTCTAACGAACACTATAAATCATAAAAGATCCAGAAGAAATCATATTAGTAAAATTTAATACAAAGATATGCAAGCTAAATCCATTCATTGGTCTTTGTATTTACACTGTGCACTTTAATTTCAATATTGAATGATGCTATTAGCAGAAATCAAATAATTCAGAGAAGTGCAATGCCGAACATAATATATAAAACATCCGACTAAGGCGATATTCCGTCAAATTCCAAGCGGTCGGATCCGACCACACCCACCTGTGATGCACCAAACGGCAATATTTGGCAGAATATCCGGCTATCCGGCCATAAGACTGGCCGAATAACCGGTATCCGGTCTTATGGCCGGGAAACAGCTAACCGTTTCATCTCAATTGTTATTATAAAATTGATGTTCCTACTTAGGTATATAATAATTATTTTCAAATATGTTCCAATGAACAGAAATTTTCGAATAAACTGAATAAAATAACTTTATATAACAATATACCGTTATTAGCGGGTTTTCGCTATTAGTACTGTTCATGTTGACGCTGCAGGCTCGATAAGTCGCCATTTCTAATCCCATTCTTTATCCGTACTGGCTGTAAGCCTTTTATCTTCCTTCTCCATTTCGTCACATACGTAAAAGTCTACAGTGGAAAATGCCAAAGATGTTATAGCATTTAAGGATTGCCTCGTAATTATCACATATAAAATATCTTGAAAGTAACAAGAAGCATCAAAGATGTAACAAGCGTCAAAGACGTTTGATACAGCGATCACTATCGTCTGCCAAGTGTAGTTATTTTAGCACGTATACGGAATTACCGACAAGTGAGGCATTACATCTTTGTCATTAGGGGTGACAACGAATTTGTAGTTTTGTTTGCAGTTGGCTGCAGGTGTCTATGGATATTTTGGCTGCAGAGCAGTGGTTGTAGCCACTTCTTACCATCAGGTGGACTCCAAGTTCGATTATCATTGCAGTTTTAAAAAAAAACTTACTCGACAACGCAAGACTCATATTATTCATTTTTACTCAATGTATAAAAATCTTTTTAAAGATTTTATATTTTCATAACTTACTTGTAATTGCATTTCACTAGCGCCAAATAAGTGCTTTGAAGCGCACAACCTCTGTAGCATATCTTCGGGCATGGGCTCTCGCGTTTGGAAATGTCGTGCAAACCGCCGTACTACCTGTGGGACAGAACAAAAACACTGTATTAAAACTACATTGTTCCATCCAACGAAGAGCTGTTTGTATCATCGAATTGAGTTTTAGTTAAATAAGCTTACCGTCACGTACCTTACACCACTAGTGCAGTACTAGGCAGTTAATAACAGTAGGCCAATGGTGAAAGATACGGACCGCGAAAGTCAAAAGTCGTGGTTTCGAATCCGGCATTCGATTCGGTAATCTGTCACCCTTTTCACTGAACTGGAGTGGTTAAAGCGAGTATTCGTAGTCGACAGCACGCCTAATATTTTAAATAAAAATTCCCTTTTTATGAAAAGGAAAAGCCTACTTCAATTTTTTGTTAAAAATATATTATCAAAACCGATTTTACAACTGACTATTGCGTATAACATACATACAAATAAATATACAGTCGATTTGTAAAACCTCTGAAGTCTACCAGAAAGAGTCAACTGTCGAAGCTGACCACTGGAGGTGCTAGCATCATACACCTGAGATTATGAATGTGATTGAGGTCGGTGGCGCAGCGCGTGCCGGCCATGTGCTGGGGGCGCGCGGCTCAGCACGGAGTGCAGAGCGAGCCGTAACGTGGCTCCACGTGGCGCAACCCACCTGCGGGCACGAGGCGAACCAGTCGAGCAGCACGCCGGGCACCTCGGCCAGGTCAGTGGCGCAGCGCGTGCCGGCCACGCGCTGGGGGCGTGCGGCTCTGCACGGAGTGCAGAGCGAGCCGCTACGTGGCGCCACGTGGCGCAACCCACCAGCGGGCACGAGGCGAAGCACCCGAGCAGCACGTTGGGCATCTCGGCCAGGTCAGTGGCGCAGCGCGTGCCGGCCACGTGCTGGGGGCGCACGACTCAGCACGGAGTGCAGAGCGAGCCGCTACGTGGCGCCACGTGGCGCAACCCACCTGCGGGCACGAGGCGATCTAGTCGAGCAGCACGCCGGGCACCTCGGCCAGGTCAGTGGCGCAGCTCGTGCCGGCCACGTGCTGGGGGCGAGCTACCCAGTACGGAGTGCAGAGCGAGCCACTACGTGGCACCACGTGGCGCCACGTGGCGCAACCCACCTGCGGGCACGAGGCGAAGCACTCGAGCAGCACGCTGGGCACCTCAGCCAGGTCGGTGGCGCAGCGCGTGCCGGCCACGTGCTGGTGGCGCGCGCGACCCAGCATGGAATGCAGCGCGTGCCCCGCCTCGTGGAACAGGTTGTCCACCGCGCCCGCCGACAGCAGCGCCGGCCCCGACCGGTGTCCGCCACTCAGTGACAGCATTATCACCACTATCGGGTTCTGCGCACGCGAACACACCATCATTTTTATAAGAATATAAAGGTGACAAACGAGCACACAGTCCACGTTTTGGTAAGTGGATGCTGTGGCCTATAGATATACATCTAAGTCTATCCTCGATTAAGAATCACAACAGATGCGTTGTCACCCCCGAGGTCTCGGATCGAATGCCTCGTTTCCAGTGAAGATGATTGCACATCGATGATATTGTTACTTACACTGTGTACGTGGTAAAAGAAGTGTTTTGATGACAGTGATATAGCACTCACGCCTGTCACCAAGAGGGGTAGGCAGAGAGTACAGACTTCCATTTGGCACGATCCTGAGACACCTCTCCGCCTCTTCCACATCGAAGAAAACTCGCATTCCCAAAATCGGACCGAAATCTATAACTTTCTATTTCTGATAGTTATTAATTTTCAAAGCTAAAATTGAAAATAAACGCACAATCTGAATTCGGGTCTTTAAATCCTATATATACTACTCGTATATCGAACGTGAAATTATTTTATTCTTTTTCTACTTATTGTGATGTGTTACCGACTTCCGCTCCAGGATATACTGGCTCATCAAATAATTAAGTGTGAAATAATTACCTAAATAATTACTGACATTTATTGGATTTGTAAGACAAATTAATAATAATATATAATTGACAAATATTAACAACTGACGCCGTCCGCATGTCTTACTACGGATATTACTAAGTAGAAGAATTAGAAAAAAGTTAAGTGTCTAAAAAATTAAAGAATACAGCAAAAGGCATTGTTTTGTGTATATATGTGGACAATAAATCGAGAAACTTATTTAAAACACAACTTTTCAATGATTATGATACTGTGTAACAAACATTGATTTATATGTTACTAGGTCGACCGAACAACTAAAACGGACCAGTGTGCTGGCCCTAAAATTACAGTTTAGGGCCGACGCGAATCGGTCGACAGTAGTGCGCGCGCAGGACAGATTTGCCTATCACAATATGTCTAGTTGCGTGGTAAAAGAAAAATTACGATACAAAGATTTAAAAAAAAACATGGGATATCGTATCGTCGTCGTAAATAACCTTATATTATTTTTGTTACAATTAAATTATTATAGAAACGCATTTTTAAAGTTTTATTTTACAGTTAGTTTAGTTACGTTACCAAGATTAGGCCAGGGTTGGATTCAGACCCTCAAAAATATTGTACGTGGAAAATAAACATATACTTTTTTTTAAATTATATCACGTTTGACGTTTCATGTTTCTTTTTTCCCATGTGCCGGGATTTTGGCGTAACCCGTCTAGTTTATCTATACGTTTCGTTTTTTGACGGTTTTATTTTTATTTCTGTTTAATTTTTGTCTAAAGAACTTAGTGTAAGTTAAATTTTGAATATTTGTACCTAATATATTTTATATTCAATTAGGGTAAAACGAAAAGAGTATAACAGAAACCATATCTGCTTAATAGAATTTGAAAATATGATTCATAATATATTTGAATTAATTCATAAAATATTTTGAATTTCTGTTTTCAAACTGATTGCTTCTGGAGTATAGAGTTTTTATAGTGGTAGCCCCATAATTATAGTTCCAAGGATGCAACATTAATGCCTCGATCGAGCATCGATTGACCAGAAATGGATCTAATTCTAATTTTATTAAAAAAACGCGGTACTCATGTACAACAGAAATTCTCGATATCGTAGGGTTAATATTAAAATGTAAAAGAACCCAATAATAATACAAGTCGACCTTTAGGTAAAATTATGATATTTTCGCTTAGTATTATTACGATATTATGTATACTATACGAAATCCGACCCTGGTTACGTCGTGTTTAATATGACGTTTGTATTTTGACAGATGCGCTACTTTTTCTTGTATGAAAAATTTATGAGTAAAATATTTAGATGGGCCTTTTGAAATCATTGGTAACAAATGAGTTTACTTTAGGGCCAACTAATGACATAAGATTATTAGACCTCATTGGTCAAGATATCACGTAATACATATACAAAATTATTCGAATGGAGAAGAAGCTCCTCCTTTATCAATTGGGCTAAAAATATTTATAAATTAAAATTAGTTTTACTCAAACCATATTCTATGCACTTGATAGGTGCTTCAAACGGAAATTTAGTACAAAAATACACAGTTTTCAAACACTAACCTGATAAGTGCCATCTGGAAGTAATTTGCCACCTTGAATAGTAAAATGGCAGTCCTGATGTGGCTTCCCAGGCCTCTCATACAAGTCACAGTATATATGACCCAATAATCCTTCGGTTTCATGCACAACCGCCAACTTATAAACATCGGGTGACCAGGACTCGCCTTGAAAGTTAACATAATATTTTTGGTAAAATTGTTAAAAGCATTTGAAGGCCAAGCAAATTTATAATATGCAAATACTCGTATTTATCTTAACTATTTATGATAAAAACTTAATAACATTAAAATATAAACAGTTTTATTTACCTGGCAACATTTCTTCCGATTTTAAGCTAATACCATACAACTCTTGGCAAAGCATATTTAAGCCTTCCATACATCCGCCCAAGGAGAAATATGGACTGAAATCTGAATTAGCTACATTGAGCAGCTGTGTCTTGGCCTTATGCGTAAAATAAGGAGTGTCCCAACACATAAGGGCATCCTGGTAAGGAGTTTCCTTCTTCTTCATTTTGAGCATGGCATCAAAATCCATTTTAGCTCTGTCATATAGGTTATCAGAAAGAATGTCAAGGAATTTTCGTACATTTGCTGCGTTTTCCATTGTACTAGCCTTTATTGCTCTGCCAATAAGAAAAAAACATTTTTGTATATTATTTATCCCCATATGAGGCTATCTATAGGGCAGGCCATCGACAGTGAACTTTTGACAGAATGTAATGGTAACAGATTTATAAATCCAACTGATTGACATGTAGACTTATTTATCATCATTTCTTCCAGCCTACCAAAGTGTGCTTGGCAGGTAGGTTCACAAACACTGCTTTTTTGTTTTCTAGTTGTTATGAGAGAGACGCACCCATCTCCAGATTTGTTAACCTTTGTCGCCTTTTAGGAGACCCACGGGAAGATAGAGGTTAGCAGATTTATTTATACCACCACACCTCTCCTATTCAACATTCAGTCGTAAAATGTAGACACTAAGCATATATTGATTAATGTTGAATACCTTATTATATTGCCTGTAAGTCAAAAGCTCATGAATAATATTTTATATACAAAAATATAAATCTTGATTCCTCTTAATTTAGACAAAAATTGTTAGGCTTATTTAAAAATATATAAATATTCAGCAAAAGAACTATTTCACAAATCTATGTATGGGAATAGTTCTTTCCACAAACCATAATAATTGGGTAATCTGTATCTCTATTTTCCACCATACATAAAGAGTTTTATTATAAAATATTATTTCAACATATTATAAACTTTACTTGTAATGCCATTACAAAAAGAACATTATTAATGAATATATTTAAAAAAATTGTTATTTACAAAAAAAATTTTTAACAATTTGCTTAAAATTTAAGTCCTTATTAAAATCTTTAACAGAAATATATGATGATACCTATAAGCACTCTCGTAGATCGGACAGGCGTCATTTTACATACTGTATGTTGAAACTTTCAAATTTCATGCTTTTTAATTAGTTGTAATGCAATGTTTTAGACTATACTCGTATAATAAATTATCATTTATGGGTCAGTGCGGCGGACACTTCCTTGTCCTAAAACCCTCTCAGGAATGAGAGGAGTCCTGTGCCCAGCAGGTAGACGTTTAAAAGCTATAACTTTAACTAACTTTTTCAACAAATTATTGAAAAACCCGGGTTTACTGTCTAACATACGTCAGTAATCACAGTCATAACCATTGGTTACATATTACTTAAATATGCTTATTTACCTATCAGCATAGCTCTGGAAGCCGCAAATCGTTGCCAATTCGTGGCGAGCTTGCAGTGAAGTAGACAAGAGACGTTCCTGGTGGGGATCTGGAGCCAAGTACAGGCGATAAGCGGCTTCTCGCGCCGCAGCCTCTCCACATTCTGCATAAACCCCACTTACTATTACGCTCTCGCCCTCCGTACTGAAACTGTATTCAAGCTAATTTTAAGAAACTTGCTAAAACCAATCTTATGAGGTTGTATATTTGGGCTGCGTATTTAGCAGGGATGGGAGATATGATAAGGATATAGAACGACGAGTGAATGCGGGAAATAGAGTAAATGGGGCCCTGCACTATATTGTGAAGAGTCAAAATGTGTCGAAAAAGGCACGTATGGCAATTCACAATGCTGTGTTGGTCCCTACTTTAACGTATGGTAGTGAAAGTTGGGTGTGGCAGAAGAAGCACGAGAGTAGAATGAACGCAGTAGAAATCGGTCGTTAAGGAGTATGTTAGGGCTGAATCTGAATGACAGGGTAAGAAATTGTGTAATAAGAGAAGAGTGTGGTTTGCAAGATGATGTTGTGACCAGGATTAAGAAAGGAATGCTTCGGTGGTTTGGTCATGTGGAAAGAATGGATGAGGAAAGACTGACAAAGAAAATTTATGTTGCAGAAGTGAATGGCAGAGTCGGAAAGGGATGTCCTAGGCGAAAATTTATCGACCAAATTGGCGATTTATTAAAAACGGGCCAAATTAGGAGTACCCTTAACCGACGAGCATGTATGCGTAGGTGTATGGATGTGAAGGAGGCGAGAGAGGTGTGTCAGGATCGTGTCAAATGGAAGTCTGTAGTCTCTGCCTAACCCTCTGGGTGACAGGCGTGAATGTTTATGTATGTATGTATGTATATGTTCGGAAGTCCAATGTTAAAGTCAAATATTTTTATACGGGGGGGTCCCCCGTGTGTTATTATTTTGTGTAGTGTTCGTAAATTTAAGAAATCATCAAATATAGTTGTAGTGATATGAATATTTATCATCTTTTTCTTGTAGTGTTATCATAGTTGGCTTATACAAAGCAATCTGATATGTGTTTATACAATGAGGTTGTAAACCCTATTTATAAATCATCAGTGTTCGTCTGTCCAGCCTTTTCACCATGACCACACACTGACAGCCACTTGTGGTTGGAGTGGTAAAAGACCTCACGTGTGTACTTACAAGTAAGGGAGTTTGGTTGCTGTGGGTGGATGTGGTTGGTAACAATGGTGTAATGAGATACTTCTATCCTTTTCTAACACATTGTATGACTCATGTAAGCTCAAGACTGTGCTGAATGGCGTAAATTACGTTTGAGTGATTTTGGTTGATCGAAGAAATTCCATCATATATTCAAACTGAAAATTATTGATCATATATACCACTACACTATATTCAATATATCATATATACCACGAAAGTGTTCATATGTATGTCAAGCCTTACTTCATAACGACCCACTGCCACTCACTTGTGGTAACAGTGGTAGAAGGTTCCACATGTACACTTGCAAGTAAGGGAGTTTGGTTACTGTGGGTGGAATTGGGTAGATGTGGATGGTAAAAATATGAATCATGCTTTCCACACGGTCAATCGTATGTCGCATGCTCAAGAGTTGGGTCACCTCGAAGATTGTTCATTTTCAGTCCAAATAATAAAACAACAAGTATTAAGTGTTTTATAAGCAAGTGTTTTAAACAAAAAGTGAATGTATATAATTATTTATAAAACTGTAAATATATTCATATTCAATAAAACATTTTTTTTATTTAATCAAACTACTTTCGATTTTGATTCAAGATTAGTTTAATAAGTTAATTAATCAGCCGCTTTTGTATACACTATATACGACATACATTTAATGGTACAAAGATTTGTAAGGATAGAAAAACTGATTTTATAGCCTTTAAGTGTGCGATGTATTTAGACCCGGGCAACGCCGGGTTTCGCTGCTAGTATCAATTTAAAAATAATAAGTAACTGATATATAGAGCCTGCCTTAAAAATCTATGTCAAGGTGGAAACAAGCCATAGGACAGGTGGTAACAATTTTTAAAAAATTTTAATAATCTGTAATATATAATCCAGTAAGTTCAAAACATTTTGGAATTCGAATTAAATATGCTTATTCTTTACTTGCCAAAATAGCATAACAAATTTTATCAGAAAAGTCAGTTAAAGTTGAGAGATGTAATAATTTTTAGTTTATGGTTAATTAGCCAAAATATGACGCCTTACTTAAAACTAAAGTAGTTGTGTTTACTTTAAAACTGTGATTCGTAAAGGTTATTCAGAGTTATAAGGGTAATTCAGGGTTATATCACAAAAGTATAAAGAATAATAAAGATTTATCAGTACTTGAAAGAATAATGTCATTAAAATGACAGTGTAACAATTTTTTGTTGGATACTATCTTAGGGTAATAATATACTATCTTAGGGTAACAAATACATATGTTCAAACATCATAGCAAATGAGATAATACAATTCAACACAAATTGAGTCAAAATACTTGTCTCGCTTTTTCTTATTTAATTTTCGAACAAGGCAAAAATCAAGACAAATCCAATAAAAATGTCAAGTCGTCATTTTTGGTCTCTTTATACTATGCCAAATATGAGAGTAAGTACACTCGTACGTTCTGATTTACTTAAAAAAATGACACCCCAATTGTAGTAGTATCTTTAATCTATGGTGATTTCAGTTGCAAAGTTAGCTACAATCGGCATCGATATATTTGTTTTTGTTTAGTTATTTATTTTTATTACTTTATATGCCTAAAAATGTTTAAAAGACTATGAGTCGACTTATTATTATTCGAAAAATCAAGTAAATTGTTTTCTAAATCAAGTGATGATAATTATTATATTACATTTCAAATATTCGTTTCACAAACTTTAAAAACTAATAATTAGGGAGGTATCAATACTAAGTCTTGACAGACACACAGTACATGAGCTAGTTGGATCCCATTTGTAATCCCAATTTTATATGCTGACTAACGAAGCCGGGGCGGCTTTGCACGACTGTTTCCTAGATTTTTTTTTTATAGAAGAGGGGCAAACGAGCATGTGGCTCACCTGATGTTAAGTGACTACCGCCGCCCATGATCAACCGCAACACCAGGGGAATTGCAGGTGCGTTGCCGGCCCTTTAGAAAGGAGTAAGCTCTTTTCTTGAAGGTCCCCAGGTCGTATCGGTCCGGAAAAATCACCGGTGGTAAATTATTCCACAGAGAGGTTGTACGCGGTAGAAAACTCCTTTTGAAACGTACAGTGGTGGACCGCCAAGCATCCAGAAGGTGTGGATGGTATCGGGACGGTTGCCGTGTAGTGCGTTCACGAAATTTGGCGGCTGGGATTAATCCGAACAATTCCTCAGAGCACTCCCCGTGATAGATGCGATAAAATACGCAAAGAGATGCAACATCTCTTCGCAGCGCCAGTGAATCGAGCCGATCGGAAAGCACTCGGTCGTCGACGATTCGAGCCGCTCTGCGTTGGATGCGGTCAAGTGGAAGGAGCTGGTACTGGGGAACCCCAGCCCAGAGATGGGAACAGTATTCCATGAGCGGCCGAACCTGCGCCTTGTAAAGTTGCAGGCGGTGTGCCGGCATGAAATACTGTCCCGCTCTGCTGAGCACGCCAAGCTTTTTTAGAGGCCAATTTGGCCTTCCCTTCCAAGTGACCACGAAACTGCACGTCACTCGATATGTCGACGCCGAGGATTCCGATACTGGCTGAGGCAACAAGGGGAGTGCCTTGAAACTGAGGGGATACGACAAAGGGGTTCTTTTTAGCGGTTAACGCGCAAACTTGTGTCTTCTGGGGGTTAAACTGGACTAGATTTAGTCGCCCCCAATCCGAGACTCTGTCCAGCAGAGACTCGACGTCAGACACAAGTTTGTCCCGGCACTCAGAGACGTTTTCCCGAGAAATATTGGCTCGGCCGGTGTAAAGAGCATCACCAGTGATGTCATCTGCATAGCAATGAATGCTACGGGTTTGCAACATATCATTGATATGCAAAAGAAACAGCGTTGGCGATAGCACGCAGCCCTGTGGAACACCAGCATTAATAAGCTTGCAATCGGAGCTTGCACCGTCTACAACGACCTTGATGCTCCGATCTGCAAGAAAACTGGTGATCCAATCGCACAATTTCTCGGGAAGCCCATAGGAAGGGAGCTTCGAAAGAAGCGCTTTGTGCCAAACCCGATCTCGACAACAATGCCATTTACCTGGTTCAATAGTAAGTGTGAGTGTTCATTAAAATCTGTCCAGCCTTTCTTAAGTATGATCTTTCATACATGCGGTAATTAATTTATTTATATAGACTTACCACATGCCTAGCGGAAAATATAAACCATCGATTATATTCAACAAAGCTTTATCTGCTTGGATGAAAATATTTCTAAATCGTGAAGGATCTTGATAATGTTGTGTAGGGACAGTGAAAAAGAATTCACTACCTCCTACCAAATAACATGTATTATTATTCAAAAGTTCTAGACCCCATACCATCCCGCGAGTATCGTAAACGACAGAGAGAAATGAAACGTGAGATAGGCAGCAGTATCTTCGTGATAACAACTCAAAATAATAAAAAAATACGGTTACCAAACCACTTGCTAAGAGAGGGCACTATGGCAAATACTTCCTCAGTCAGCAGTGGACTTTTGATGGGCTATATTGAATTAATGAATAATGGATAATATCTTGAGGGAGCAAAGAGAAAACGGGTAATACGTTCGTAATCGATTTATTGGTAGTTGTGATCTAGCGACAAAAAAGGCAGACCGCAGTCATGCCATTGTTAGGTATATCACTATACTACTTTACGTAGTAAAGCCACGCTGCAGCTATAACAGTTATAGCACGAATCGGTTGGTCCGACGGGTGCAGAACCACGCTCTCACAGATTACCAGCAATAATAGCAGCTTAAGGCTGTTGTGTTGAGTGTAGAGAACCTGTGACCCTTTTTACTGGAAACAAGGCATTCTATCTTAGTCGTCGACAATGCCTCTGCATTTTATTTTTAATCTAGGATAAATGTAGATGTTTATGGGCCACAGCATCCACTTACCATTAGGTGGACTGTGTGCTACACCCTTACTACATACATACATAAACACTCACGCCTGTCACCCAGAGGGTTAGGCAGAGACTACAGACTTCCATTTGACACGATCCTGACACACCTCTCTCGCCTCCTTCACATCCATATACCTACGCATACATGCTCGTCGGTTAAGGGTACTCCTAATTTGGCCCGTTTTCAATAAATCGCCAATTTGGTCGATAAATTTTCGCCTAAGACGACCCTTTCCGACTCTGCCATTCACTTCTGAAACATAAATTTTCTTTGTCACTCTTTCCTCATTCATTCTTTCCACATGACCAAACCAACGAAGCATTCCTTTCTTAATCCTGGTCACAATATCATCTTGCAAACCACACTCTTCTCTTATCACACAATTTCTCACCCTGTCATTCAGATTTAGCCCTAACATACTCCTTAACGATCGCATTTCTACTGCGTTCATTCTACTCTCGTGCTTCTTCTGCCACACCCAACTTTCACTACCATACGTTAAAGAAGGGACCAACACAGCATTGTGAATTGCCATATGTGCCTTTTTGACAAATTTTGACTCTTCACAATAGAGTGTAGGGTTCCTGCATTCACTCGTCGTTCTATATCCTTATCAAATCTCCCATCCCTGCTAAATACGCAACCCCAGATATACAAACTCATCTACTTGCTCGATCAACTCCCCTCTTCTATCCTTATTTCACATATCGTCTTACTTTCTTCTCTTTCAAAAACCATAACTTACGTCTTGCTTGCGTTCACTTTCATACCCCTTTCTTTTAATGATCTGTTCATTAATGTAATCATCATTTGCAACTCGGCCGCCGACGACGCAAGAATAACTTGATCATCGGCGTACAAAAGGCATTTGACGGTTAACTCACCCATTCTTAATCCGCATTCTTCAACTTTCAAATTTTGCGAACAACTGTCCATAAATAGGTTGAACAGCCACGGGGAAGCCACACAGCCCTGTCTGACACCTTTATGGATGCCAAACCAATCCGAGTAGATCCCGTTGATCCTAACACAAGCACTATAGTCCCTATAAAGAGACTCCAATGCCTGTATCAAGCCAGCGCTCAAGCCAAATGAGTTCAATGTTTGCCATAGCACATCCCTATCCACTCTGTCATAGGCCTTTTCAAAGTCCATGAATGCACAAAAAACCTTTTGGTTTTTGGCCAAAAACTTCTTTGCGATCATGCGCATGAAAAACTTGATCTGTACATCCCATTCCCTTTCTAAATCCTGCTTGCACATCCCAAATTATTCCATCAGTTTCTTTCATGGCCCTTTCAATCAGTACCTTAGCATACAGTTTTCCCACAATGTTAAGAAGGCTGATACCACGGTAGTTTTTACAGTCCTGCTGCGACCCTTTTGCTTTATATATTGGGACTATCACGGCTTTGCACCAGTCTACCGGTACCCACTTCAGTTCCCAGCATCAATTAAACAAGGTGTGCAACAGGCCTGCCACCACTTCCTCTCCAGACCTCAGCATTTCGAATGAAACTCATATCCGGCAGCCTTACCTGCTTTCATGCTTTTCATTGCTTTCATTATTTCATCTATACTTATCTCGCTACCTCTTTCCTCTTCTTTCAGAGTTTCTACTTCATTTAGTTTATATGTTGTCTCCTCACTCATAAAACACCCTTACTTTATAAATAAAACTGTCGTAGCAGTGCCCTCTGTGTACATCCCGTGACACAAACTAATAGGCCTTCTACACGGTCAGGACCAACCACCAACCGTCGTGACCTTGGTCGAGTTGATGTAAAAATGGACAGTGTAGACATCGGTTGTCTGCCAATATTTTGGTTGAGTCCGACGGCCTTGGTCGTGAGCGCATCCCTCACGACACGTCGGGTCCGTGGTTGACGCCGACCGTGTGCGCGTGCCTCAGTGCACGCTTGGCAGTCGTCGCAGGCGGATGTTTAACGGCACTATGGATACGAACGGAAGCAAAGAACGTGAGGTCCTGACCGAATTCTTGTCACTGTACTGTGATTTACCATGTCTTAAAGTACCATGTCATGTTTGTTTAAAGTAATGCGCACTTTCAGCCACAATTTTATCCATTTTCTTTTTTTTTCTTTTTTTCATCTTCATTCAAGTATAAAAACGTTAAAGCTAAACCGATTTTTTGTTGTATAGAAAAGCAAGGAGCCATTTTTAAAAGTAACTACCTTACGTCTTTACTCTTTAAATACCAGAGAAACTGACAAGTTGAGTCAACTACCCGACCGTGTAGAACGAATACAAAAATCGGTTGTCCCGACCAAGGTCACGACGGTTGGTGGTTGGTCCCGACCGTGTAGAAGGCCTATAAGTGTCGATTAAACAAACACAGTTATTATTCCTTGTAAAACCCATACTAAGTCTAAGCATAATTTGACAGAAATATATCGGCTGAATAGAAGTAGATTTCATAGTGAACTTGTCACAATATATTTTAAATTATACAACGATAGTACGCAACTCTGCATTATTCAACTACGTTTTGTTGTAAGATGTAAGATGAAGCTTACATAAACTTTCCTTGATATAAATAAGTATTACAAACCGGATTAATAAAAATCTTTAATTTTACTAAGTCATAGACTAAATTAATTTATCGATTACGTTTTTGCTTTCGCTAATGGCACATCAGTAGAGGTGTCTATGGAATGGAAAAATGGCAACCACCTTGTAAATAAAAAAGGTGAGAGTAATATAGCTATCTTATTTTTATATTCTTAAAAGTCATATGTAAAGATTTTAGCTATAAGAATTTTGTTCCTATTTTGGGACTCTCTATGGTAGTAATTTCTCTGAGGATACTATATGGATTTTAAAAGTACATAACTAAGAATTTAATAATTTTTTCTGTTAACCGTTACCACTTGGCCTATCAGCCGTTTCCTTGACATTGATTTATGGGACACCTGATATAAAATAAATACATAAGTATATTTTATATATACATAATTGACTGCCTCGTTGGTCTAGTGGTTGTAGTAGTGCGACTGCTGATCATGAATTCCTGGGTTCGAATCCCCGGTCGGGCCAAAAAAAATCAATTATTGAGTTTTTCTGTCCCGAAATTCTCAGTAGTTGCCCGGAGTCAGGAAGTCGGCGGTGTCTCACCCCCGTGCCTCGGAAAGCACGTAAAGCCGTTGATCCTGCGCCTGATGTCTCTCCCATCGTGTCGGTTTACTGTCCCATCGGATTACGAGAGTGAGGGAATAGAGAGTGCACCTGTGCTTGCGCATACATTCGGGCACTATAATTCCGTCCGTTGAGGCAGGCCGCCGTGGCCGAAATTCGGTTTGGAGGACGTTATTATTATGTACATAATATATAGCCGAGTAATATAAAAGCATAGTGCATGAAAAAGCTGTTAAATGTTATACTTACTATTTTTAATTTGCACATTTATATAGATAATATGGAGATGTTTGATTTGTTTCATCCTTCAAACCTTTCACTTTAAAAGCTTAAATATAAAAGTAATCAGCTATTATTTTTATAGAACTGAAGAATAATGTTAACTTTAGTACACTTACAACTGTCTAACATTTTGAGGAACAACCGATCTTGGCACTTTTCTCGCCTTAGCAGCACCAGCCATAAACCTCTGTCCTGTTTGAAGAATAAGGTCATTAAGTGCCACAACTCTCTTCCTGGGACCATCTTCAAGTTGTATTCCACTCTGCTCAAAGTCAAACAAGAATAATTCAGCTAGATGTTGGTCACCAGATGTACCGCGTCTGACCGAATCACGTAACGCTTCGTAAAGACCTTTGTGCGTATTTAATCTGCAAAAAAATATATTTTATTAGTCAGAATTTTGCACGACTCGAGTTTAAGTGTATCATTTGGCTTAATTATAGACTTGTGGTCGGAATTTAATTTAAAATTCTTTGGTTAAAATAATGGCAATTAGGTCATTTAGGTCTTAGACTACCTATCTTAAGAGCCCTCTTACATTTCAGCGTTAAGCAAATTTAGGTATTTTATGCTCCGAGCGGGCGACGACCTACGCGAGCGATAATTTATTTCGTAATATCTATTCACTCGCTCGCATTATGATACTGTGAGTACAGCGACTAAATGATCTTGATCTTCTATCTTACAAGTTTTGTTAAGATGGAGTTCAGTGGATGGAAAATTTTTGTTGTGTCCTTTTTATGTTATCTAATTAATTTATTATAATCTATTTGATATATTTTTCATTATTTATTAACCTTAGTGTTGAAATAAGTACACATAAATATTTTAATTGTTTCACAGTAATCGATTGTTAACCGATGTCGGTAATCGATTATATCTACTAACGGTAGCATAGTGATATAAATAAATAAATAGTACGGTTGCAACCTGTTTAAATAAATAAAATAACCAACTGTAACTAATATTTTTTTAATCGGTACTTACAGTCAATTACCATACTTTTTAATTATAAATATTTGCCGCAACGACATTGACCGAGCTTATCTCGAGTCAATAATTTCAGGCAGTACACAGTTTTTATAAAACGCTTGTAACTTGAGTAACATATTCAAAATCCAATGTTTTTTTTTTTGTAGATTTTTGTACTTTTACTGCATAATTTGGGCCAATCTATATGGCAAGCATGCAGACATTTTTATTCTCCATTATTATTTCTCCAGAGATAGGATATTTCTTTTTTTACGTTTAGTGACACATTGATACTTGTATTTATTTTTCTTCATCCCGACTGGTAAGAAAGCCCGGCTACAATCAAATTAACTATGAGTTAACTATCTGGTATAATAAAAATGTGCGAACTTTATACTAATTGAAATACACTGTACGAAAGTAAATACTTCCAAAAACTGCAGTCGCAGTTGACGATGAAAATAGCAGCGCCTATACGTCAATCGACGGACACTACGATAGTATCGAACCGACGGAGCGTGCGAAATTAAGTGACACAGGTCCAACCTCAAGAACCGCCCGCGCGGTAATGATTTCAAATGGCCGGCGCAGGGAAATATATGGTAGTTTTATTTAATTAATTAAGAAATAATAGTAACGATTTAAAAATTAAAAATAATAGTGTAGTTTAAGCAAATGTTGGTGTCTGAGGTGTTGGAGCTTGTACAGAAGCTTTTTCGATTGTTAATTGAATTATGTCGATTTTTTTTTCTTACGTGAAAGGCATATAACGAAAATGTATTCTATCATTATTAAAGTATATATAATAGGGAGATAAAATACTTTTTTGATGGTTGATATTCAATAGAATCTACAAATTAGAGCTCCCAAATCATGTCTCTCAGAGTTTTGGCCTAAACATGCATCGGGAGAATGATTATTACTAAATAAATAAATAAGTTATCTAAAATTTGTTCTGAGCTTATTGTAGTAGAGAAAACGAACTATTTATACCAAGTAATTGTTATTTCAAGCAACGAACGGAATCATATAATTTCTACGAGGAAACCTTGTAATTTCGCGTTTTTTTTTTTTGTAACACTCCTCTTAATTAAGATAGAACCAAAAATTTGTCAGAATATCATAAAATTAAATGTGTTAAATATGCCTGATAAACCACCTACAAAAACAGGCCTGTTTCACTTTGCGCTTTAGGCATGAAAATATACCTGCGCCACGCGGTCGTCACCTACAAGGTACTACTTCAATGAGGTCACTCAAGCGGTTGAGCTGATGCGCGCCTTACGTTGCCAAAAAAAGTATTTTTCTCTTTTATTTATTTAGGCACTTCTGATATTTATTTTTGAGTTTTTATTCAAGTAAGGCCACTTAAAAAGCCAAAAGATACTGCATAGCAAACAGGTGCTTAAATAACAATTATAATGTTGATATTATATTTATAAGAATATATCCAGATATTTGGGGACCTAGTTACTGGCTCCATAGTTACAGATTTATTATTTGACTAGCGACCCGACCACAGCTTCGCAGTTTTCGATTTTTCGTGTATAATGTCAATGAACTTAAATATTGTACAGTGTAAGTAGACCTCCCGATACTAGTTACTGCCTACTAATGCAAGATCAGCATATACTGGTTCCTTTTAAACACTTGGTCGATAAAAGAGACTGAATAGTAGCACTTCCCATTGCCACACTTTCATTAATAAATTTATACAAACATAAATTTATCAATCTAAGTTTGTTGTTCTTTGTATTATTTTGTGTGCAATAAAGAGTATTGTATTGTATTGTAATAATGCCGTCGCATTCTGCAGTGAAACAGAAAATAGTAAGTAGGTAAATTATCTGAGTTTCAAAGACGTTCACATTGTTATAATCTTAATTTTTCTAGATGTTGCATATTAACCTTCCTCACATTTAACACTAATGTTCTCATTATCAGCAAATCACTAGTAATTTGCGTACATTTTATTTGCATACACGAACTAATATCAAAGGATTCAATTTGTTTTCTCACAACACCTAACCCTACAGTAGTAGCGGCCTTAACAAAGGCACGTAACTGGCTAAGTGATACAGACACTCGCACGCGGACGTAGGGTGCATTTTGATTTAATACGCGAGCAGCATTAACTTTTTTCGACGATTTAATCGGTAGACTAATATCACAAAGGTCGCTTCCGAGGCGTCCAAAGTATTATGAACATTAGTGACATTATAACTAGGTTTAAATTGGCAAGTTTGCTATCAGAGAGTGGTGCTTCTGTTCTTGAACTATTATTAAATTTATTCTGTGTTAATAATACTTGTTTTATTTGCTATATCTTCCATTTAAAATGACAACTATAGATGAAATAGGTAGTGATGAGATTTTATTGTAATACATTGTAATGTTGCCGCAGTCTTGCCTAAAATTGAAACATCTGGTATGTGAATGAAAAAAGCATGATCTAATAAGTCTGTTAAGACAAAACCTTTCTATAATTAATGTTTTTAACATGGAAGAGACACACTGCAGCCATATTATGAAGCACAAATGAATTGGCTCAACCAGGGAAAGAATACACTCTCATAGAGTACCAGTATAAAAGAGCAGCTTAATGCAGCTGATGGTGAGTGTTGAGAAGCTGTGACCCTGCTGTGTGTGTGTTACTGATAATGAAGCATTCCATTTACATTTGTCAACATATACCACATTTTGATTCTTTATTGAGGATAGATGTAGGTTCCTGTAGAGTGTAGACCTTAACATCCATTTGCCATCAGATTGACAGTTAGCTCATTTATCACCATTATTCTATTAAAAAAGTGTGTACAGGTCTATTAGAGAACGTTTAAGGGCTGAGGAAGGAAAATATGGTATAAAGCATTATATCTTACTTTTCTACAACTCCACTGACACTAATACAGGCATCTTCAGCTGCACTCGTAAAATGTGGCTGTGGATGAGCAATCCTCACAAATTCCGCTAAATCTGCAACTTTGCATAATGTGTCCGAGAGTTCATCAAAGATTTCTACCATAGGCCTAGTAGGGCCTGATGTAGCCTCTTCAATAAGCCTGTCTGTTGCTATAATAGCTTGCTCCTTGAGTGCGTGGAAACCCTCAAAACTTGTTAGCTCTGGTTTGTTAAAGAGACCCTGAAAATTAAGATGCCTTTAAACAGAGTAAGCAAGAACATGTGGAACCAAAACACTAAGATTGTTTTTATAAAGTGAAATGGACATACAATAAATCAAATAATTTGAAAATAATGCAACCTTAATTTCAGTATTGTTTTGGTAAATAATAATTTCCAATTCTTTTTGGTTTTTAAGTAATTTTAAAGGTTAGTTTTAATAAATGTTTCAAAATACTATTTATTTTGTGTGTTAATATTATTACCAAAATATATTTTAAAATACCCAAAAATAAATTGTATATGTGCTGCCTCTGGTAGCAGAACTATGCATTTGTTAACATAAATGTTAGGCACTACTTTAAGAATCTGACATGGTAAAGCCACACCGCAGCTAATAATAATTATTATCTTGTGGTAATACTTTTTCAAATCTAAATTCTTTTAACAGGTATTAACATTCTGTTTGAGTAATGAATTGGCGACAGTTGGAGAACTATTCAATGACTTAGTTGTCAAAATAGGAATATCAATGAAATATTTCTCAAACACAGCTGCGACTTCTTAAATATATTTGTATTTTTAAAAAGTAGAAATATAGGAATTTTTAAGATCTAAAAACAATGTTGTCCAAATGACTTCCCTCGGCTGCTTGGCACTCTTGGAACCTTATTTGCAAATTTTGGAAAACTCGTCGAAAAATTGTTCTCGGGATTTTGTTCCTTTCCTGAATAATATTCCTCTTCAGCTGCTCTAAATTGGTCGGATTATTCTCGTAGACCACCGATTTGAGGTAGCCCCACAGAAAATAATCACATGGAGAGAGATCGGGGCTACGTGGTGGCTATTCAATATCCCCCCTTTTCGAAATGAGTTTTCCGGGAAAAACATTTTTCAGCAGCTCTATGGATACTCTAGACGTATGACATGTGGCTCCATCCTGTTAAACCACATCCTCGAGGTATTGCCTTGAAGTTCTTGCAAAGCTGGCACCAAGAAGTCTGTTATCATATTGCCATAATTGTTAGCTCTAACCGTCATCGATTGCCTTCTTTCGTTCTCAAAAAAGTATGGCCCAATAATACTGGTTGACGTTATCCCAGCCCACACGACAAGCTTAGGGCTGTGAAGTGGACGTTCATGCAAGCGTCAGGGATTAGTCTCGGACCAGAACCGACAATTTTGCTTATTCACATGGCCATTAAGGTGAAAATTGGCCTCATCACTAAACATCACATTGTTAAAATTTTTGAACCGCTCGAGCATAAAATTGACAAAGTTAAGTCGGTTATCGGCATCATCTGGTTTTAATTCTTGGACTATCTGAATCTTATAAGCCTTCAAATGCAAATCACGCTTCAAAATTCGTCGCAAAGTCGTTCTTTTGATGTCCAAAGACTGACTTCTCTTACGTGTTGACTGTTGCGGATTTCGCTGAACTGAAACACGAACACGCTCAACAATATCGGCTGATGTTGCAGAAACTGGGCGACCGCGAGCCGTAATTGGTACTGTCGAGCCGGTTGTTTCGAACATTCTGATCCATTTTTGTATCACATTGGCGCTTGGAACTTCACTTAAATCGCGTAAACCGTGAGCATGTCGATACAAACGTCGTGCAGTAATCACTGATTTATTGTTTTCGTAATACGCTCGGACACAAAATGCACGCTGCACTCCCGTGTACGGCTTCATGGCGACTAAATTTCCAGGAAGCGGCGCAGCTAACAACATATCCCCCCGAACCCCGCGCCACGCGTTTTCGAAAAATTGAAGAATTAAATCGCTAACACTTATATGGCCCACCCGTTATTTATGAAAATGTAATGTATGTACATAAAACATAGATAGTTATTTTTAAGAATAAAGATGTTCATACTTTAAAACACTAGGAACAAACATAAGCTTGTAATACCAGTTACTAGACTCCACAGAATTAGTAATTCATTTATGGAGCAATAATACATAATAATACATAAACACTCACGCCTGTCACCCAGAGGGATAGGCAGAGACTACGAACTTCCATTTGACACGATCCTGACATACCTCTTTCGCCTCCTTTACATCCATATATCTACGCATACATGCTCATCAGTTAAGGGTACTTTTAACGTGGCCCATTTTGAAAATATCGCCAATTTGGTCGATAAACTTTTTTCTAGGGCGTCCCTTCCCGACTCTGCCGTTCACATCTGCCATATAAATTTGCTTTGTCACTCTTTTCTCATTCATTCTTTCTACGTGACCTTGCTGCTTTTGCAACAAATTCCCAGAAAATGTACAAAATTTGTCATTACACAAGTTTAAATGTTTTATTAATGAAAAATTATACAAAAAGGGTTATTATAATATCAAAGAATACATAAATGAAAATAAGCCCTGGGAATGAGGTAATAGCCACCACACTAATATTGTAAAGGTTTTATGAAAATTCATTCAAAACTTGTACAAAATAAATTATTGCAAAGCAAAATACTTTAAAAAAAGTCACGCTGGGTTTCTTCCTGGTTCTTCCCAGGACAGAGGTTTTTATGAACCAGTAGTAAATTAAAAAAATACTTTCAATAAGTATTATGCAATCATTAATCCACTTTATTTCATTTCATATGAAAAACAGCAGTGTTATGCTGCTATTTTACACTGATATTCTGCGAGTGTGGTCCTTCCCCGGTCAAGCCGATCCATTCTTGCTACAACTATACTACTAATATAGCTGCAGTATGGCTTTACCACGTTATAAACCTATATTTTAATTATCGATTGAGGGTATTGAATAAAACTAGTTTTATGGATCACATAGTGCATTTAATTTTACTAATTTTTATGTATAAAAAATCATTATAATCAAGGATGTAGATGTTAGTGTAACAAATCCAGTAGCCATCAGATAAACTCTGTGCTTGTCTGTCACCCTTATCCTATAAAAAAGAAAAGGATTTTTTAAAGAAAAGTGAGACTTACTGTTCTTTCCCGTAAAGTATCAAACATAGGCCTAGAATTGGGACGTGTGTTGAATGCAGTTGCAAGTGGGGACCATGTGCTGACACCCCGGAACCCTCGTCGGCGCCTACTTTGCCGCAACACAGATATGGGCTTAAGCAGCTTCATGATCACAATCAAAATCCTGTAAGTAGCATTTTCCGAACTGCAATAGGGGTAACCAAAGCAATAGGAGAACCGTGGTAGCTCAGATGGTTAGCACTTGCTGTAAATATCACAATACGAGAGCAAACCGGGTTCGATCCCCGCCGGCACCAATGAAATTGTTAATTGCAATTTAAAGTGCTGATTTACCACGTGCTCGGCGGTGAAGGAAAACATAGTGAGGAAACCTGCATGTCTGAGAAATAAGAAAAAAAATATTTCGATGACATGTGAAGTTCGCCAACACGCATTGGGGCAGCGCGGCGGACGATCCCTTGCCCTAAAACCCTCTCAGAAATGAGAGGAGGCCTATGCCCAGCAGTGGGACGTATATAGGCTTTAACATTACATTTACATTACAATAGGAGTAACTAGTGAGCACAAACAGGACACATGCGTTATCAGTGTACTCAACTGCCTGCTAATATAGAATAATAATTAAATAATTAGCAACTTCATCACAGTACTTTATATTATGTTTATTAAGTATTTAATTGATTATCTTTTTTTTTTCATTCAATCTTTTTTAATTACTGATTGAGTGACATACTCGATCAAAGGTTGATATTCATGAGATGAATATGTAAGGTCCACTGAAAATTATCTAAATCGCACAAATAAAACAATTTATATGTAAAATGATCTATTTACTACTTTTTAAAGTATTTTTTAAATTATAGATAAATATAGATTTGCTTGTGTTACTCTTTTCTCATTTAATTTTTCTACATGACCAAACCATCAAAGCATTCCTTTTTTAATCCTGGTCACAATATCATTTTGCAAACCACACTTTTCTCTTATTACACAATTTCTTGCTCTGTCATTAAGATTTTAAATAATATTTATATATTTTTAATATTATTTTACATCAACTTGTGAAATGTATAAATGTTTTCATACTATCTGTAAAAACTAGTAATTGACCTTCTTCCTTTACTTATTAAAGTATTACTTGATGTAGTAAATTTAAAGAAATAAAATTTATAAGTAATTCACACTTGAAGGATTAATGTGGTAGACCTATGCTGCAGCTATATAAGTACACTACTAATATAGTTAGTTTGTTAGCTATAGCATAAATGAGTTGGCTCAACCATGGAAGGACCATGCTCTCACAGAATACTAGCATTAAAATGCAGCTTAACGCTGCTGAAATTTGTATAGTGAGTATAGAGAACCAAAGACCTCCTTTACTGCAAAGGAGGCATTCCATCTTAGACATAGCATTAGTATTGGTTGACAAACGAGCACACAGTCTACCTGATGGTAAGTGGATGCTGAGGCCCATAGACATACACATTTATCCTCAATTAAGAATCAAAATGCATATGCATTGTCATTCCTGAGAACCAAGATGGAATGCGTCAATTCCAGTAAAAAGGGTCTCCAGTTCTCTATACTTACCATATGAAGCACAGCAGCATTACAATGCCATTTTATGCTGGTATTCCGTGAGAGTGTGGTCCTGCCCCAGTTGAGCTGACCCTTTCATGCTACAACTTTAATATAGCTGCAGCTTCACTCTACCACTTAAAGATTCGTAATTAAAGATAGATGTATATGTCTACACACACCTAATTACAGGGCCACAGCAACCACTTACCATTAGGTGGACTATGTGCCCATTTGTCACCATTAACATATACTAAAACCAAGTTCTATGTCTAGCTGTAGACTTATGAAAGGTCATAAATTGATGATTAAAAAAAATTGTGAAAGTACATTAAATGTAAGTATAAGCGCCATTAAGAGATTCGAGATTTCAATATACTTATTTTGGTTAATCAGTAACATAAGTTTTTTGTCAATATTTCAGTATTATAGTTAGGTAATATAATATTTTAAAAGGATCGCATGGTTCTTTGTTCATGTGAATAAGATCACCTTCTATGCCATTAAAGACAAAGTTATGAATTTAGTGAAGAAAGATTGAAATTAACTTACCAATTAGTAAACAAAAAATGATTCAACCTTAAAGAAAGTAGAAGCAAGATTTGTTTTTAATCAAGTCATTTAGAAGGTCAAAACAGGCTTCTCTGCCTTAAGGTTTACCTTTATCTACCTTTCCAAAGCTGAGGAACTTGTTTATTCATAAATATTTCATAAGATTACAAACATAGGTGGTAGCATATAGGTTAAAATCACAGAGTACTTTTTTATAGTTCAAATAATAGATTTTACCCTTTAGACAGTTTATAGAGGGTATGTTCCGAAATGCAACCCAGTACACTGTTAAATGCTAATGACGTCATCAATTGACACTATATTGTACTGGCGTGCCACCGCCATATTGCGTCGGATATCCGGCCACAATAAAACAATTTTTAATTGTGTGTGCGCCGAATGAAGCATGCCAGAATTTGTCTCTATTTATTCAAATACAAAAAATTATAGAATAATTGCTGGTGTATCCATTAGGAGGATATAATGATTTTTGGATCACAAAATGACAAAATAATCGCCAACACTTTTCTAAATGGCGTAAAAGTATGACGTCATATACTGTCCCGTAGACAGAGAAACCTATAGAAAAATTGACGCCTTCTTTGGCATTCGCACACGAAAAAGATAGATTTATGCATACGTCTTGCATAGAAATGAGATAGAGCGGTGTGATTGTTTGTCCCTTTCTCCGTGCCGGTTTTTTTGTTTAGCAAACTCTACTCTCTAGTTTGCTAAAGAACTTTAACAGCGTAGCGATTTAAGGAATTTACCAGTTGGTTTAAGTGAGAAAAAAGTGTTTTGTGAGCTTAAGATTGGTGAATCTTGTTCAGTTCAGTTCTTAGAACAATTAAAAATTTTATCTAAATGTGTTTAAAAGTCATAAAGATTATTGTATAACCTAAAAATTCGTTATCGTCCTTTCTCACTCGAGGCCATGCCGATCATTAGTCTATACTCTATAGGTTTCTCAGTCTACGTACTGTCCAATGTTTTGGAACGAATCACCAGTATAGCGTCGATTCATGACGTCATTTGCATAGGACAGTACACTGCGTTGTATTTCGGAACATACCCAGAGTAAAGCGATGAATAGACATTGAACAGCAATGCTGCGGACAAATCGGATCAAACGATCAAACAAAACAATGCAAATCGGAATCCCTTCCTTGCTGCATAAATCTATCTTTTTCGTGTGCGAATGCGAAAGAAGGCGTCAATTTGTCTATAGGTTGCTCTGTCTACGAAAATCGAAGTACCTTTAAGAATACTGAAATATACTAACTTGCTCAGGGAAAATATACTAATAAAAATACTGATTTTCAATATATGTTTTATTCAGTCATTATCACAATAAATGTTAGAATTGTATTTTAACATTCTATTTCAGGCATTAAAATTGATTTAATGATTTTTCACCTTCATCTTTTACACCCTGCGTTGATTTTAAAATTATATTGCAGATAAATTTTTGTTTATAAATCCGTTTCTTTGTTCCGTTTTTATTAAATTTATCTGTGAAAATATGCGCTCACATGCAAATCCGATACTGGTATCCGGTACTGGTAAGTGATTGATGGTGAACCGCCACCCATTAACAGCTGCAACACCAGGGGTATTGCATTTACGTTGCCGGCCTTTTAAAAAGGAATAGGCTCTTTTCTTGAACATCCCTAAGTCGTATCGGTCCGGGAAATTCTGGTGGTAGTCGATTCCATAAGGAAGATGTGCAAGTAAGAAAACTTCTTTTAAATCACACGGTGGTGGACCGAGTTTTGTCGATTATTCCTCAGAGCACTCCCCGTGGTAGATGCGATAAAACAAGCAAAAAGATGCAACATCTCTTTGCAGTGCCAGTGAGTCAAGCCGTTCGGAAAGAGCTCAGTCGCCGACGATTCGTACATATCTGCACTGGATGCGATCTAAAGAAAGGAGCTGGCACTAGGGAGCACCGGTTCAGAGATGGGAACGGTATTCCATCTGCGGCCGAACCTGCGCGTTGTAAAGGCGGTCAGCCGGAATGATATACTGTCCCGCTCTGCTGAGCACGCCAAGCTTTTTAGAGGCCAAATTGGCCTTCTCTTCTAAGTGACCACGAAACTGCACGCCACTCGATATGTCGACGCCGAGGATTCCGATACTGGCCGAGGCAACAACGGGAGTACCTTGAAACTGAGGAGATACGATGAAGGGGGTTTTTTGCGGTAAACGCGCAAACTTGTGTCTTGTGGTAATTAAACTGGACTAGATTTAGTCGCCCCCAGTCCGAGACTTTCAACAAAGTTTCGACTTCCAACACAAGTTTGTCCCGGTACTCAGCGACGTTTTCCCAAGAAATATTGGCACGGCCAGTGTATAAAGCATCACCAGTACTGTCGTCCGCATAGCAGTAAATGTTACCGCTTTGCAACATGTTGTTGATATGGCGACGGCCCATGGTTATTATTAATAAATAATAATTAATTTCTATATAAGGGAGCGTCAAAAAATAACCTTAAAAGATGTATATTAAACAATAAAATTACATTAATAAGCATAAAGTTAAAATAAATATATTTCAGACATTAAGTATTATAGTAAATTAAAGTAAAATATTTCGTCTTTCAAAATATATAAATTTATTAAAAAATCTTGTAAAAGTAGATTACATTAACAAAATAATTGGAAAATTGGTTAAAAATTGTCTAAGTCATGGAGGGAGGTCATGTACATATAAAAGAAAATTTTCTTAAGTTATGGAGGGTGTTCATATATAGATGGCTTGTATGGAGGAGTTGCCGGAGACGCATATCCAAGATCGTACATATATATGGGGTGGTCGAGTGCCCGACTGCTTGAAGTACTGTAGCACAATAACTAGTCCTATTAGGGACTTATGATAGTAAGGTTCATTATACTAAAGCATTATTATAGAAGGTCTCCTTGATGCATAAGCATTATATGGGGTGGTCGGGTGACCGACTGCTTGAAGTACTGTAGCACAATGACTAGTCCTATTAGGGCGTAGACAGAGAAACCTATAGACAAATTGACGCCTTCTTTCGTATTCGCACGCGAAAAAGATAGATTTATGCATACGTCTTGCATAGAAATGAGATAGAGCGGTGTGATTGTTTATCCCTTTCTCCGTGCCGGTTTTTTTCTTTAGCAAACTCTACAGTTTGCTAAACAACTATGACAGCGTAGCGATTTAAGGAGTTTACAAGTTGGTTTAAGTGAGAAAAAAGTGTTTTGTGAGCTTAAGATTGGTGAGTCTTTTTCAGTTCAGTTCTTAGAACAATTAAATTTTTTATTTAAATGTGTTTAAAAGTCATAAAGATTATTGTATAACCTAAAAATTCGTTATCGTCCTTTCTCACTCGAGGCCACGCCGATCATTAGTCTATAGGTTTCTCTGTCTGCGTATTAGGGACTTATAATAGTAAGATCTACGATGCAAAAGCAATACTATAGAAGGTCTCTATGATGAATTAGCATTACAATAGTAGAGTTGTGGATTTAAGTCCTATATATTAATGACATCCACTAGCACGTCCGTGGAGAGTATAGTAGCCAAACAAAATATGCCGTCGTCCGTCCGACATAGTATATATCCAAAAGGACACGTTGTAAATATTGCCATCTAGTTTAAAAATGCCGAAATAAATGAACGTTGTGCTTGACAAAAATGATTATCCATGAAATACTACACTAGAAATAACAGAAGAGGGCAGTGTTTGGGTGCATAGAATTAAAAATAACAACTTCAGTCGACTTTTCACGAAAAAGTCTCGGAGCACCAGTGATTATGTCGTAAGTATTTCGTATTTTTTTTTTGACTTAATTGTAAGATCATTGTACATCAAAATGAACTTTAGTTTCACGTACTAAATCGGCTCTAATTTGAACTTCAAAATATTGTTGTTGCCAAAACAATGACATCTTTGTAATTCACAGTCGCTAGTCGTCTTGTTTATGATTGATTTACGTGTTATTCAGTGAAGTAATAGTGATTAAATTTCTAATAAACATACTCATACACTTTTTTAGTTAAAATATATTAAAATGTCAAAGGATTCACAATTAATATCAATGTGTTCTTCAGGCTTTTTCGTATGGCTAGTGCGGTATCCAGGGACGTTACAACAAGTTATAAATAAGGGTCTCTCGAAACGAGGAAGTGTATTTTCAATATTTAATACTGCTTGATGTTATCACGTGTTTTATATTTGTTGAAATATATTGATTGTATTGATTAATTTCACACTTGTTTCGTGTTTCGAAAATCGCATTTGCACACTTTTACTGTATTTGAAATTTTAATGTTTTTGTATTTTTGGGTTATTTACCTTTTGTGATATTTTTTTGTTCTAATTATTTCAAAAATCTACAATTTATTTCTCGAAACTAATGCAACACATTACAAAGTTTTGGTTTCTCCATTGAAGTAATATGTACTTACGTACTTAAGTAATATGTATGTAGTACATATTAGCTCAATGGGTTTCTCCTGTAAAATTTACTTTGTTTAATACGATTTTTTTCGGGGACGACGATTTAGCAAATAGTTTTTTTAATTTTATCGTTTTAAGCCAAAATTATTAATCATTAAAGTATTTTATCACTTATTCATATTTCATTCAACCTTATCATGTATAGAAAGCCTTAGACGGACGGCTATCTTCTTCAATTTGAACGACGCACGACGACTCGGCAATTGTCAAGAGGCCGACGCAAAATTGCAAGGAGAATGTATTTTAATTTGATTTTTTTAACTACTTAGAAATATTCAAATATAAAGATATGTAGTGTTGGGCGGTTCGGGAAATAAATAAAACGTCCAGTAGTCTAGACTGTAGGTTTAATACTAATCCTCTCTTATTATATCCTACACAAATATATATAAGCACACACTACACGCCCATCGGCAAAAAGAAAAAAAAATCATTCACAAAAATATTTTTTTTTATGTAACATAACTTGGTGTATAAAAAATTAAAAAAGGTGTACACTTTTTTTTTTTAAATATTAAAATTCTTATACTGTAACATACTTATATCATAATAAAAAA